AAAGTAAATGACTTTCTTTTCAATTTGAATTCCACTTTTATGGTTCACATGAACCTTTCTCATTTACAACTGTTAGAAATCATCACTATGCATTCACAATTTTATTTAATGATTTCAATCTATAAATTGAATAAACCATTTCTAATAACAAAAAAAAAAAAAAAAACTTGCTTTTGGCGCTTTAAAAACTTTAGCAATAGTGCGGCATAGTTTAACAGTTATGGTATTTTCGCTCTTTTTTGTTTATTATTTCTGTTAGTTCGTTTTGATACATCTTATTATCAATTTTATTTAACGATTCTTTAAATTTTCAATAAAAAGAACTGATAACTCAAACAAAATAAAGCATTTTTTTATAGAATAGCAAATTTGTTCAAATGGAAAGGAATCTAATAGTCAATCAGATTCATTAATCTCATGAATAAATGGGAATAAGTGAGTGAGTGTTAATTCGTAATAAGTATATTCATTGCCGCTGAAAGTGTTTATTTGACATTTTTGGTGGTAACAATATTATAGAGTTTCAGCGAATGTTTACGTTCAAATATCATAAATCAATGGATGAGAAATCTGATATGATCAAAAGGACATTTCTATCACATGAAGACCCATACAGTCCAAATAAATTTATAATAATATCAGTTAGCTTCTGTCGGTGCATGAGAGTCCAAAAGGTATAAGAAGAGCACAAAATAATTCAATGACTAATTACAAATTAAAAAATAATTTTTATTGCTTTGGTTTGAAATCTTAACGGAATTTTGTTCAACGACATTTAAAACAAATTCGAAATTTCCATTAATTTTTCAAAAGATATTACAGAATACTTTACTTTTTAAAATTATAATTTGATATGGACAAACTTCCATAATGATTATTTCCTAGCATGATAAAACAGAACCTATCGAAAGATGCAAACGCAATTCTTCCCAGTTTCATTTTTGCCAATTATAAAATGTTTCCGGAAAATCCTGAAAACAGAATTTGCTAATCAAGCAGTGCAATCGAATTAATGAAGTTGCTTCTGTGTCAGATATGATAGTCATCATAGATAAATCAGCTGCATTGGTGATAATGTTGTATAATCGCCGCAGCGATTATATTTCTCCGGTAATTCATTCCAATCTATATGAAAGTTAAAACTGGATGGATTTGAAGAATTTTTGACACTCATGTCACCTAGTTAAAATTGTAATCAGACATCAATTTTCTTCTTGTATGAAATGTCGAAGTTTTCAGGCTATGATAGCTTTAAGCGTGGAAAATGAGAAAATCATATGGTGAAATTTATCAATGACATTTCATTTTGGATGAATTGTTGTTTACGTATATGAACCTGAATGCAAGTGAGGAAGTTTGGGTAGACTTAAATTACTAGTAAAATGGTATTGTTCAGGATATTAAATTTATTTCGCTACTTATCAAATATATATTACAACGTTTTGAAAATTTCTGTCATTTCCTTTATAAACAAAATTTTATTTATGAGTTACCAAATATACCGTAAACCAGACGCATGTTTTTCACCCAGTTTCCTGTGCTGCAACTGATTTTAATTTAATGAAATAATTTTTAGCCAAAATTTTGAAAAACAAAACAAAAAATAAGCAGTTTGTTTTCAACAATGGTAAGGTTATTATTATTATACAAATTTTGGTTCAAAACCAGAATGAAACCTTTCATTTTTTATTTAAAATTAAGATCGTTTTAAGTTGGTTAACATGTTTATTGGCAGATATTAACAGCTTATGCTTGAAATGATTATAGCAAAAAACCAACATAGTACAAATATTAATAAAAATGAAAGAAATTTATTAGTAATTTGATAAATAAAGTGTTATTAAAAAAATAAGATGTTGCTTTCATAAACAGTGTACTGAGAAAAAACATTTTCATAAACAATATACTATTTATACTAGAAGTTTGCAAATTTAAAAGTGGCAACAAGAATTTATGAACTATTTTGGATATGGAAAACAAAAGTGATCGATACAAAGAGTAGTATGGATGATTACTTAATAAGTGAAGCAAATACTCTAACTCCTATCATAATTTTCGACAAATTAAGAAAATTCAAATTTGTGTGAGTTTTGAGAAAGAGTCTCAAATTCAATGATACGGCTAATGTGGCTGACAAATGCTGAGCTGTTTATTTTTATGCAATCATAATTTACTTGTCAACATTGAAATTACGATTCTTTTTGAAACTGCATGCAGAATTCAACTGCCAAATAAACTTGTAATATTGACAATACTATGACCAATAAGACTATTTGAATCATCGCCATGTCTAAATTTACATCTCAGATATTTGAAAATTGATGTTTCAAGGAAATGTGAATGGAAAGCTTGATTGGCATCTTTCAAGAACAGCCTTAGAAAGAATTTTTATACAATTCGTAAAGAATTTCAACAAAATGAATAAACTCAGACTGGTAAGAGCTAATCGTGTCACTTGTATTTCATATATTCTTTTTTCCGATTCTCATCCAGACATCGTGAAACATTTCCTTTTTATCTTCAAACTGATCTTCCTAAATGTTACTACTTTTGTTTGGTACGAATGTAATGCGCAAAAGTTCAAAACATTTTAAAGATTGTCTTTTACTATAGTTCAATTTGAACATTCTTCAATTTGCATCAGCAAATAATGGTGACGGATGACAATAAAGAAGTGCGTATTCGGGATTTTTGCGACATGGAAAGTGCTGATTGATTTGCCAAAATACGGCGAAACCGGTGTCTTCCGTTATCGATGTTCTTAGAAACTAGCTGTTCTACCAGTAAATTACTGATGCATGCATTTACCCTACTTTGGCATTTACTCTTTCTTGGTTATCTCAACTTGATGCAATCAAACAATGTCAACGTATACTGATAAAGTACTTCACGTACATCATGTTAGCAGCATTGATCTTTCATTCTTATCAGTCAGTTACCACGTCTGTTCTGTTTTTATTGTTACCTACAATCTTAAGCAAATTGAAAAGAGAATGACATCTCATTTTGTCGAAATACTACTTTGATTTTGGTTATAATTGCTAATAAAATCATTAAATCATTTGAAACCGGAAACATCTGAAAATGAATTTAAAAGAAATAAAGTTAAATTATGCTCACTTATTATCCAATCATCATTTCCCTTCGAATTTTGTCTTCTTATTTAAAAGTTTTTATATATATATATATATAAGTGAAAATTGATTCGATGGAAGTGTTCAATTTTTTAGATAACTATGTCAAGTTCCTTGTTACGTTTATTCGTATACTTTTATAATCTTACTGGCAATTATGATTGAAATCAAAGCAACATTTTTCCTGAATATTTTCCAGCTATTTTCGTGTACTATTATTATTTTTTATTACGATTTTCATAAACAGCTGTATAAACCTTCTGAGGATCATTTCAATTTCAAATATTCTTGCTTGTAAATTTATGTATTTTTTGATTGTCTATTTTTTGATTATCCAACTAAAGTATTAGTGTATCAAAAAATAAATATGTAACCAAATATTTACAAAAAAATAATTAATTATACAAAATAATAATTACGACCGCTACTTAAGAAATGGATATTATCTGTAAATTTTTAAAATTAAATTACATTGACTTTAACTCCCAAAAAGCATACATAGACTTGCTTACATACTCTCTTTTAAGTCATGTAAATCTGCTAATGAAAGTGCAAAATCGCTAAATTTAAACTAACGTTCTGAAAACGTGGCGATGTTCCTTTCAGTTTTCTGGAACGAACATATATATATAATGTAATGATCATTTACTCATATATTACATTATGCGCTCTTATCTGTCACAGAGAGCTACCATTGACGACAATTATCTTACTGCTTTCGACTGTTTGATAGAAAAAAATAAACATTTAAAATAGAAATTCCAAGATCCCAGAAAATCTTCACCACTTCTAAAAAAGTTAGATTTATGAAACAACAATTTTGTTTTAAAGGAAACGTCTTTGTTGGCAGATTTCGCCCCCTGTAAAACTTATACACAATTTCATTCGTCTCTTATAGCATTTTCAACAGTTACTTCTTATATTTTTACATATTTTATCATAAAATTTATTTACTTATATTAAATTCATTAAATTTCTTACTATTTTTTGATCAAAAACATACATTTTAAGGAAGAAAAAGAAATATTATTTGCCCAATTCTGTTAATATTTGAAGATTCATAATTTTCCTGCATGAATCTTTAACTATTAAATTTTTTGCCGATAGTGGGAACAACGATCGATCGTTTGATGTTAATTACCAGGTTAAATTAAGTCATTTTATTAATTTTTACTACTGATTTAAATGTACATTTTATTATTTTTCACGAAAGAGAAATTCTTTAGACAAATATATACATACATATCAATGGATGGCATTGAATTCAAATATACAAATGATTTGACTTAAAACACAAGCAAAACAACAAATTGTTAAATTTTTTTTTTGTGATCAGAAGAATATAGCGGCACATTCATATGGCATCTAAGATTTCCGAAAATAGCTTATTCAAATACCTGAACAGAGAAATATTTGGCGCAGAAGAAATCAAAGCTCAGTTCTGGATTTGAGATGATAGAAATTATTATCCAAAATGATAATGAGATAGAATTTATTTAAAACGATAATGAAATTAATCAGAGTAAATGCTAGTTATAAAGTAATGAAATTTGAAACTGGTTCAAGATTTTAACTTGGAGACACTATAAAAATGATTTTAAAGTGAACAATTATCAAGTGAGGTATTGTGGTATTACTATCAGGTATACAATATTGAGATTGCAAAGATCAGACTCGGAGAGTCGTCGTCAGCTGTAAATAATTTGCATGAAGAGTGCAGTCACCAACTTTTATTTCAATAGTGATAAGTGGTGGTTCAGATGCAGCAATGCTGTTAAAAACTATCGAAAACTGAATTTAAATGAATCTGCATATAACATTTGCAGTACAATTGTACTTTAATAAAATATAATGAATGGAAGTACTTTAATATAAGGATGAGGACAATGAATTATATCCTGATGATGATTGTGATGATACACGTTCACGCCATGGGATGTATTTTTGAATAGTCGTTTTCAGAAGACTCAAATCGGTGGATTCGATGGAATCTCCCTGGAAATCTTCTAGGGAATCCCGTCTTGAACTGGCAGAACTATTATTGACGCATCCATTAGCAATGGATATGGATGACAAATCGGTTTCAATTCCGATATCCTCTTCTAAATTGTCCCAAGCCATTTCTTCCTCCCACCAATGTTCCGCAATTGTTCCGGATAGATATTTTTGATACATTGAATCTAATCGCCTTGACTGATCAAGTGTAAAATAATTTTTCCAATCTCCACTTCCACCTTTTCGGATGAAAATATTTTGTCGTCTGAAAATATCAAATTTGAATTGATAAAAAAACAGATTCGGAACAATGAATAGCAATGGAGCAAGTAAGCGTTTGCTTCATTTTTTTAGATAGTACTACAAATCACCAAATTACTTTTCTAATTTTGATTAATTGATGTCGAAGAGATAATGTCTCGCATGTCTGTACTTTTACAACATCGACATATTGCCAAAAAGAAATGATCAATCAAATTGCACATGGTACTTTTTTATTACCCTTAATCGATTCCATTTTAAATGATCATTCTTTTGACTCTTCTTTTAACTGTTTTTTTATCTAAATGACGTGGATTTTAGAAACGGCTGTTGAACTACAGCAAATCCTTCTTTTTTTATCTCTGTTATATGCACACGGGTACAAAAGTAGTCACTTTTCTTATATGTTTCTCAAACTTAGTACATATACTTATGATAATAATAATCTTTAAAGACTTTTAAAGTTACTTGATGTCTGATTCAAAAACCAATTAAAAAATTACAGATTATTTTCTGGGAACCATCGCCACTGATCTTTCTTCATAGATTTGATCGTACTGTTTGCCACAATTTGACTTAATATAGCCTCATCCTGGACATGTTTTGTGGCTTTACCGCCCAAAAATTCGCCAATTCTCACAATTGCTTGTTGTAAGTCGGCGCACATGTCCTCATATTTCAAAAACAGCACATTTTCATCGTTAATATGTGGAAGCCAACTGAGCAGATAGTCGAAATAATTTCCGAATGCAATATTTTTCGTCAGAAAAAGTTCGAAGAAAGCAGAAAAATCACCATGTTCGTAATTGTAGATTTTGAAGTTGCGATTGTGAAAAAAGTAGCTGAAAATTTAACTTATTAATTCGAAGTTTGAGTAACAAAAAATTTTACTCAGCTCAAAATTTGCAAAAGTGCTGAGATTGTTAAGATATAAGATAACCTTGTAAGGCAATCTTTCGGATTTCGAACTGCAAGAATATATTTGGCACTGTTGTTTTTTGGTACATTGTACCATGTGAAATGTGTTTTCAGTAGTCGTGGAGTATCTAAATTATCAGCAAATTTTGCACCCATTCGTTCAATCATTGGACTCGTTATACACAGTTCTGGAATTAGCATATTAAAGAGAGGTTCAAGCGGTGGTAAACGAGGGAGGAATGAAATAATATGCTTACCTTGTCCCACCTGTGGTCCATAATTTTCAGTTAGCAGCTGTGAGCAAATATGCTGTATCCATGTGGTGCCACACTTAGGATAAGTACATACGAAGATGTCATTATCACGTGGTGTCATAGACTTTGCACTTCTGCAAAAAAAATCAAACTAACAGAGTCCTTCAAATTTCTTTAAAATTTCCAGGTAGATTTAAGAATGCATTGCACTAGAAATACACACTTGAATATTTAGGAGTTGACAAAAATGTTTCTTTTTCAGATTATACCTAAGAAATTCAGGCTTGAACACCGGTGGCCAAATTTCGTTGTCAATACAAGATTGTTTAGGTTGACCATCCAATTGAAAAACGAATGCACTTTTGCGATCTTGCAAACTACAGGATGCAGAAGTTGGTATATGTTTGGCTGTGGGTAAATCGGTGCCTTCGATTTTCAATTTACGGTTATGTTTACTTGTTGGAGCCATTTGACGGAAATAAATTTTCCTCTTTTTTAAACGCAGTAATGGAACTCGAGAACAATCGTACCGTACTGCTAAATAATAGTATCAGTGACTAATGATGACAGATAGTAATAATAGCAGTATGTAAACTTGCTAGTTAAAGTTTTCTATCGAATAGTACCGAGGTTGCATGTCCTTTAAATATGTTTAGAGGAGACAGAAACCCTCAGATGCTGCCCCAAGAATGTGTGCCGCCCACAAACAAACGTCCGATGACACCGCCCATCGTGAAGGAACTTCTCTAATCATTCAACCACCATGTGCCGGCGACTTGATTCTTCCTCCCACGTTTATGACAAATGTGTAGTTGTTGGGAAATTTTTTCTTGATTGAAACTTCATAAACAAGCAAGGGAAGAGCGAGTGGGAGAATGTCATTAATGCATCAAAGTTTCAATTGACATGTTTATTTTAAGTAATTCAGGAAATTAATTTCATTATATCACATTATTACTTCTTAAAAACTTAGCTTTTTGTGAATTTGCTTAAAATTTTAATCTCAGCAACAATTGACTTGCCCTGAACTGCATTTTGTGCTTGTCTTTGAATTGCTCAGTGTTCACCTGTCACATTTAATGACTTAATGATGTGATAAAATTTCTTGCAATTAGGCTATATCAAGTGATGAAAACAAACAGATGATTGCCAAAAATTGTGCTGAGTTATTTCAGCAAAATACAATTGAACAGTACCTAGTTTACCATTGAGTAATTGGCATTTAAATTTAATCACTGTGAATAAATATGATTAATGTTGACAATAATCAAATCGTTTTATTTATCGAATGATTGGATCATAAATAGTTCAAATAATTTAGTTTTGGCTTGCAAGAATGTCATGTCATATTATGTCGCAACTCATCTGCTTTGTCTATTTATAATGATAATAATACGTCTTCTTACTGATTACTGTCTTTTTATGGAAGCCATAGTTTTCATTCCTCTTTGACTGCCCGAAGGTGATCATCAAAATTCTTGAACATCTCTATGAAATAAAAAATAATTCCATTATATATCACCATTTATAGTCAGAAAGATAATTATTAATAACAGACGTTACAATATCATTTTTTCAACATTTTACTGGTAACAACTACGTTCCAGAATTGTCAATAGGACTTGTAAATAATTAAAAATAATGATCTTAATTTTCTTAAAGCAAGGATGATGAAATATAGTTTTGGTTGCTTTCGACTTACAATTTGTAGGAAGGGAACGCTTGGAGGGCATGAAGATATCAGAGAGAATGAAATGGGAAGGTAGGAGAAATAATAGAAGAAGCAATGGAGAATGGAGTAATTAAAATTTGAACATGATTAAGAATATTGAATTGCAATTTTAGCTTTTTTCGCAAGGTAAGTCACTAATAGTAGCTCATTCTCAGATTTGCTACTGAAAACAAGCAAATGTCAGATTTATTAAAATGTTCATTTTTTTTTAGTGTTTTAAAATACATCCGAAAAGTACTGAAAGTTCAGTAAGAGTCCAATTCTTAGTTCTGGTGACACCACATTGCGATGATACAGAAAATAATATATGCATGAACTGAAATTACGAAAATTGAGTGCTGAAAAAAACCAAAAAAGTACTGAAATACTTTGTCAAATGCAGTAAATTTTACATTATTGACAATTAGTCGATCGCGAAAAGGAAAAACGTCATTTAAATGTCGGCCATGTAGCTATGTTTATAATTTTCTTCCACCTTCATTTTTCTTATCGCAAACTCTCACGCGATGACGGGAATTTCCAGTTTAATTTTTTTAAGTTTAAAACTATTTTATTGAATTAATTCTGGATCATAAAATGCTAAAAGAAATTCGTAAAAGGATTAGGTTAGTAGGTCACGTAAGGATCAAACAAAGTGATAGACCATATAAACAAGCTTAATATATTGATTTTCATGCAATAATCCTGTTTTACCTTCGTTTTTCGTACGTTTTTCCATCAAAGGATTAGATTAGTAGGAAGGATCAAACAACTCAAAATTTCGAGTTTTATTATTTATATATTAATTTAATATTTACACATTAAGTTTTTGTTCTTTCATTTCCAGAATAAGAAATAAAGTTATTGGAATATTAAACGATCTTAAAGGATTGTTCGTAAGGAACACTTATTAAAAATTGATTTAGAACTTTTTTCTTTCTTTTTTTAAAACATTCCTCTCAATGTGTAAATTGGCACTTATGTTGATAATGACACAATTGATATATTGTGAGATGATGATGTAGAAAAAAAGAAAAATTGCAGAGCGATTTTATATTCCCTTTAAAATCCCATTTGAAATTTGCTAAAATTCCACGTTCATTTTCCTTTACTTAAGTGTACTTTGCACGTTCACGTTTACTATATCGTATTATAAAAGACGTATCAATGTTTCGACTATAATTTTTATTAAATACAGTAGTTAATTTTAGAATTACCCAGACTTATTTACTTTTCCTTCTTTACCGCTTTTGTAACTTCGGTTTCCATTGTAACACAAATTATCAAGAAAATGTCAAATATTTCAATCATTTGGTTAGTGAAATTTCATTCGAGAAATTCATGTTGTGATAATCCCGATCCCATAGCAGAATTCGCAAATCTCATTAACGGCTTTTAGTTAACATTTCAGCAAATTCCACGGTCTTGTCAGTAGCATCGGTGGTACTTAACGATTCTGATAAGAGTAGAAGGATTCATAAATAGTAGAAAATCGAGCGACTAAACAAAAATTATGATAAACGAAAAAGTTGTTTATCATGTGGAAAGGAAAAGCGACAAATATGTACCGAAAAGAGATTGGTGTTAACAAATTAGTAATGCAATGGCTTAAAAATTATCTTGTAAGTCGTTGATAAATCAGTTACAAGAAATAATCTAAGCTCATTTTTAATTTTTTTTCTTTGCTTTTTAACAAAACTGGAAGTGTTATTTGCTTTGCAAAGATTTCTACTGAAAAGGAAAGAAATGATATTATCTCGAATGAATATAAATGAATATATCAATTTTTTGACTGAATATAGCGGAACAACCAATATAGTTTACTGGCTCAACAGCAAACATTAGGATAGGACATAAACGCCAAGATAAATTTCCAAGAGAAATGTCAACATATATCGGTAACTCTCAAAATTGACCAGCTAGCGAGATGGTTGCTGACAGTTCTTCTAGTTAGTGACCTCGTGACTTTTACATTACAATCGTTATTGTTGATATTTTAAAATATCATTATTTCAAATGGTGTTTACCAAAATTAAGGAAAGTGTCATATGAAACAAGCAAGAATTCCATCGGAAACCAGTTCGAGAAAACCATACCGACCGCTGTGAATATAAATTTGCCTCGGCAAAACGTAATTGAACTCCGGATTCTTCCCTACTCACCTTTCTCACTGGTCAACAACTCATCTCCCACTTCCCATGTGAACGATTACTCTTAGCTGTTAGCGATTGCTCTTAGCAAAACACTGGCAGCAAAACAAATATGATAAGAATGATAATGATGACGATATCAGCAAATATTCATGATATGAATGACAGCAGTGACGGGAATCAGGGAAGATAAGTGTAGGAGTCAATTCTGCTTAAGATTTAGGAATGGAGCAGAGAGACTAAATCGAAAATGAAAGTTGAGAGCATTCGATCAATCATGTAAAGGATGAATTACATACAGATCAGAATTTCTTCTCTTTCTTTTTCTCTTTTTTTTCCGTCTTTCATTTTGCACATCTCTTTTATTTACAAAACTTTTGTCTCATAAAGTTAATTCATCGCGATCTTAAACTTAGTCTTTCGCTTAAGAAATCATTTCTTAGAAGTGATATGATGATGAGATCAAAGAAATAGTCACAAACTTGATAATTTCAATAACTGTCACATACGCAATTATTCGTCCCTCTGCATTAGACTGAAGTGTGCAGGTAATATTCATTGAATATTCATGACTCATATGCTGAACATCGAGATTGACTGCTGTAGTTGAGTCATTCTCGACAATTTTAACCTTTAGTACAAGTATGATAATGAGAGGGTTCGCTCGATCTTCGGGAAACATCTCTGTACCCACTTGCGTCCATCTGCCTTTATACTATTCATTTACTCATTTCTCATGTCATTGTTTCAAGTAGTTCTAGTAATGCTTGGTGCATTCCCGGCCAGTTCAGTGAAATAGTTCATCAAACTGAGAAGTATTTAGTCTTAGAGCTCAGAGACAAGCGACACTTTTCAAGCCACGTGGTCGTCAATTCGGGAACTCTGCCAACAAATACTGAATTTTTTACATTGAAAAAATTTTTAAACAGAAACAGACGTGTGAGTACATACATACATACATATAAACATAAAACACATACACACACATGCTTATACATACACATACTTGGGGATGCACACATGCGGGAGTTATCAACAAATTGATAACTGGATGGATCAAGAGTAAATCGTATTGATAAGAAGCAAAGACCTTAAAAACAATAAAGCGAAATTTATTCATCCAAAACAGAAAAGAGTGAGTGAGATTCTGAGAGAGCTTCCCAATGTTTTGTTTCGTTGTTATCAACAGTGGTCGCATCATCACTATAAGATATAAAATCTTGCATTATCTTAACTCATAGGAAAGCTTTATTTTTTTTCAACCTAAATAAGTGTAATGCTGTTATCAGATTTAGAAATAGTGCATATTTCCCAAAAGACTATCAAAACTAGCTTATACTATGGATTCAAGTGTTTGAGAAATATTATAAGACATTTGCAAATGTTTGAGAAGAAAATGAACTCCGTCATATTAAAAGTGTAAAGACATAAATGAAAGGATTATACAATAGGAACTGTATAACAGTAGCCTTGTTAAGTGCTAATTTATGACCGCCACTCATTCTGCATTGTAGTTGTTGTGTATTTGACACATGGTATGTATAGCAAATGGCATTTTATTGGAACTGTAAGTGCAATTGAATTTGTTTATTTCATTTATTTCAATTGCTGCTCCTGGAAATTCTTTCCAGGTTGCTATAATATGATTATAAAATTATTATTAATTTGATGGATATCTAACATTCATTGATGATAAAAATGACAAGATATAAATAAAATTTCTAGAAACTGTGAGACAAATAGAGTGGATGAACTCCTTGGAGCATTAAAATTATATTAATTTTAAAAGAATAATACATTTGAGTTCGCATGCACTATAAGTTTCATTATAATTTTGAAACATTTCGATTCTATTTAAACACATAACGAATTTATTCCTTTTCCCTTCATTTTTATTGAATATATTCTGTTAATATACTGACCCATGTTTTTTATTTAAATACATTCAACGTGGAAAGATGAAAGAGTATGTTATTTACGACACCCACCGTACACTCGTATTGCATCATTTTTCGTCATCCAATCATTAAAAAAAAAAACAAAGATCAAAATTTCAGCTGTGCCTAACTGATCGTATTTGTATGTTAACAAATCTTTCGGCAGTTAGTTGATCAATTATTCATCCAGTCAGTCGATAAATCATTCGTTCAGTTAGTAACTTTATTGATAATTATATCCTTTTTATCCTTTTACATTTTTATATATTTACAGATATCTTCTATCGCTTGAAAGAGTTTCGAAACTGATTTAGAAATATTAATATTTCTTCACTTTTCTTGCATCTTTGAGAATAAAAAGGGCATGAAAACAGAATCAGTTGAAATAATTTTCGTTGAGCGACTATGCTGCACTTACTACATTCACGGTTGCTGTTGTGTGGGGACTAGTTTTTCATCTCTTCTCAGGTACTGAGGATTACCTAACATTTATCTTGATAGCTCGGAAATCTATCTTTAGGAGGATATCTGAAGATTCACTATTTGAAACAGAAGGAAGAATATCTTTGTATGCTTAAGCAAGAAAACTACGAGATAGAAACTTTCTGAAGATAGGAAGGAAAACTTTGTGCACAGTAATGGCCGAGAGAGAATAACATGGATACAGTGACAGATCTATCTATCTATAAATATTCTTTCGAATTTTAAGCAATGAAAAAATATAACTGTCAATAAAGTTGAACAAATGAATGAATGATTAATCGACTGATTGGATGAATAATTGATCAATTGATTGCCAAAGGATTTTTTACACACAAATACGAAAAGTAAGATAGAGCTAAAATTTTAATCTTTTTTCTGATGATTGGATGACGAAAAATGATGCAATACGGGCATACGATGGGGTCATAAATAACGTATCACTCTTTCATCCTTGTCTGTTGAATGTATTTGAACAACAACTACGTTAATGTATTATCAGAATATATCTGATAAAGATTGGGGAAGAAAAAAAAAGTATTTTTATCATTTTAAATCAAAACTTAAATTCAATTAAAGTTAAATTATAAAAATCTAAATTTCTATCTTAAATGAAATTCCAGATTTAACTGAAATCGATATCTGGTAGTTTCCATTATGCAAACAAAGAGTAACCAATTGGACGAATTATTTCGGACTTAGACTTAGATAAGCACACCCCAAGGATTTTGAGCGGTTATATCATTACTAGTAACACCATAAAAATGTAAATCTTAGTCCACAAATAGGAAGTTAATTTGGTGCCTTGAATTTGAGTGAACTATTTTCTGGATTCTAGTACATCCTATATTACATTGTACTAATACTTGAATTATCATTATTTGACTTCAAACATAATTATTACCACATGTATCGCAGAATTATAGAAACTTTTGGAATGAATTGATTACACTGAAAGAAAAACTTCCCTAATTCTCAAGTTCTCAGCAAAAACTTTCATCTACCTTAAAGTTTTAATGTAATTACAGGTTGATCTCTAACCATATATTTCTTTTGTTGGTAATCAGCAGTCAAAATCGGAAGAAAAGGAATACAAGCTGTATACTTTGTAAGAGGCTTACTTAAAACATTATTGCTGGAACAAGACTAAGGTAGTCTTAAAATCAATATTTTGTTTTAGAGGTACTGTTATAATCAAAAATACAAGAATTCGATAAAAACTAAATTTCAGACAAATATTGTTTGAATCGTCTTTTAATGAATGTTGATTTTTAAACATTTCCAAACTGAAAATACAACTGACATTGTATAAGTTTAATTCTGTTAATAATTGCTTGAAAGTGTATCTGAAATTTACTTCCTAGGAATTTTACTGGTCTCGAAAATCAAGCCGAAAGAGAAGTGTAGTTAATAACAGTACTTTGTATTTTCGCTAATATATATTTTTTGAATCATTTCTTCCCTAACTTTTCCCTAACTTCTTCCTAAATCTTTTGAATCACTTCTTCTCTAACCTTAGAATAATCATAATAAGGTTTCGCAATCAAGCATTATATTACCTACCACTGTGAGAAGGAAAACAAACCATATGAAAAATCCGCTTGATAACACAAATTTCTCTCTAACTGAACAATTTTTTTTAGAAACTTACGAATGCTAAATTATGTTAGCTAATATTTTAGATCCTCAATGTTTTCAATTCATAAACTTTTGCCGCATCAAAGCTTCCTTCCCAAGCCAAATTATTTGTAAAGATTAATAATTATGAAATAAAAAATGACATTTTTAGTTGCACTTACAAATGGCATTCTCTAAATTCTAAAGCGACAGCCTATTTATAAATTACATTTCTTCGATAGATATTGTTATACTGCAGCTTACTAATTTAAGAAAGTAGTCTAAAGACACATTTTCTATCATTTCAATTTTGAATAAAAAATATCAGAGCACAAAAACTGACAAAATCTTTTAAAACGAAAACTGTCTATGGTCTATGGTAATGGTAATATCAGCAATATCCCGACAAGATCGAATATTTTAGATTATGATTACAGACTCGACTTCTACAAAAGCTATTGTCTCATAGGAAAATTGTAGCTTTTAAAATAATAAATAATAAAATCGTTAAAAATTAAAGCAGAATAATAGGAAACTATTCGCTGATACAAAACTTCTACAGGAAAATTCTTTTCCATTGATGTAGACAGAATATTAAACTACACACTGGTATTCGAAAGTATTTTATCTCGCACTGAAGTGTTTTTGATAGGAATTCGTCTCTAATCATGATAAATCAATTTCATAGAATAGGCTTCTTCTTGAAGATTGTTTTCCACATTCGTAACAAATATAAGCACCTGGAAGTGAAAGAAATTTCTGAGAGATGACCAAATCTTCTAAATTTTAACTTGCAAATGATTATTAAGAAGAATTACAGAAATTACAGGAGAGAGATTAGAAAATTAATATTTAAAAATTCAAATGAAAACAAAAAATGTTTCGTTACGATTATAGGCATTAAAAAAAATGGGATGAATACCTCAGGTAATTTCACTCCATTATTTAGCAGGAATATTAAAGAAACATCAATTGCTTTATGCCCAGAAAGCATAACGATATCATTTTCAATCCGGACGTACTCTGGATGCGAACAAGAAATCCGAAATGAGCGTTGCACACTGTACCGATTCTTCACAGTTAATGCCTGAAAAAACGAAAATATGAAATAATTCAATATGAAATAATTTAAATTTTCATGTAATATTATTATAAAAATTAAAATCATAACAAAAATTTCTGAAAATATCTTTTTTGATGCTAATATGAATAGATGTTACGTGCGATGATATGACTTACGATTGTTTGATCCCTATTGTTTTGCAAATAAACTTCAAATATTTTAGTGATGTTCGCTTCTTGCACATTTACTGCAATCATCCATTGATAAAGCAAATGATTTGTTCGTTCATCAGTTGCGGAAATCAGCACCATGCGGAAACCTTCAAGAAATATGGAATTCACAATTTATTTTTTATATCTCAGTTCTTTTTACATGATAATTATTCGATATCTACCTTTTAATAAGTCACAATCGCTGGAAACACATTTCTGAAAGTAACTAAAGAACAAAGGATTCAGTGTCTGAGTGCATTCATTTTATCCATTTAGCCAAGTCCTAAAGCGGATATTCGATGTTACTCAAATATAACTGAATTTAATCAAAGATCCGAATATAGTTTAGCGACTGAAGACTACTATACATATTATTAAAACGCAAGTCGTGTAATATTAAAATTCTTTCTGTTGAATTCACAATAAATTTCGAAAATTTCAAGGACCTTCCAGAAATATTCATTTTTGAAATAAAACTTTTTAATTAAACATATATTAATCCCTATTGATCCCACAATAGAGAAGAATTTCTGATCTTACTGCACAGAAGACTTTTTTCAAGAATTTACAGAGAAGGCATTTCTTGATTACAGAACAGATATCGTATGTTTGATCTTTTTAAATAAAAGGCATTCCTTGAAGAGAATTTACATAAAAGGCATTTCCTGATGGTAAGAATAGATATCGCATCTTTGATCTTTTTAAATAGAAGGCATTTTCTATGAGTAATTTACACAGAAGGCATTTCTTGATAACAAAATAGATACCATATCTTTCATCTTTTTAAGTGGAAGATATTTTTCAATGAGAGTTTACACAGAAGGCATTTCTTGATAACAAAAATAGATATCGTATCTTTGATCTTTTTAAATATAAGGCACTTCCAGATGAGGATTTACATAGAAGACAATTCTTGATGATATGAATAGGCGCAGTACCTTTGATCGTTTTACATAGAAGGCATTTTTTATTTTTCGATGAGAAGGATAAACATCGTCTGCGGATTCAGGAACTGATAAGACTATCACAACAAAATCAATATTGACTGACCTTGAGGAAGGATCGCTAGGCAGAGTATACAGATGTTAAAGCAGGGAAAAAAAATTATTCCACATTTCTGTATTTAAAACATAGTAGTTTATATTTTTTTTGCTAAGAATACATCTACTAACCTATGAAATTCGGTAAGAAATGAACTACAGCATTCAAAGTGCCACCAAATTGCGCTGCAATTGCATCTGATGGATGAACCTCAAAATTTTTTGAAGAGCTTCCGAAACGAACCAGGCCACTGCATTTATCATCAGTTCTAAAAGTAATTTATAAATAGTAATTGCTTAAGTAGATGTTAAAAAAGCAAAAGAAAGGCTAAAAAGAATGAAATTTGATCGGACAGTAGCAATAAAATATATGAATTCTCACTTCTCCAGGTGAAGAAATGAATTTCAAGGAAATGTCTCTTACAACCAAGTGAAAGTAAAATTTCGAATATCGAAGAATTTTATCTACTTTAAAACGATGGGAATTTTAATGAGTTGTGCTCGAACAGCATTTAGATTGATTTGATTCACCGAATGAATGTGTATTAACCATGCTCCAAGAACAGTGCTGTAATACTGGTCAGCAAAAAAAATTACAGTGAATGTTCGCAACATTGGTGCTTTACCAGTTTGACACTGTAAAAAGTTGCAAATTAACATCATGAACAGAACAAACAAAACTTGAGAACTAAAAAAAAAAAAAAAAAACTGCCACAGAATTTTTATTTCCAATAATATAATCAAGTTAAATATACTGTAAAATGTAAATCCTGAGAGCCATCGCAATTGTTCTTAAATGAAGTCAGTACAAGGGGATCCGTACAACGAATGGAAAGCACACGATCTGAAATAAACACTTTGGAGATAATAAAAATTATATGAATTTTGTTTCTTGCTTCGAAGGGAAAATGAACTTAAAAACTGTTTCGATGACTACTTTTATATCCGGTAATATGAATAATCTTAGACAGCGTTGTTTCCGCTTCGTGATAGAAACGAAATGAATTAGAAATAATGTTATGACGATTTCCAATCAATAAGTCTAAGATTGCTATTGGTTCACCACCATTTTTCTTTTTGAATATTATCTGAAACTTACATATAGATTTATAAATATTTCAAACAATTCAAAACCTACTTAAATGTATTAAAAGGCAATTGTCACCATTGTAAAAAGCATTAAATCAGCGGGATTTTTCCCAGCAATGCATGGAAAAGTTAGCAAGATGATTAGCATAGCGAGAAGTAGAAATATTGACTGACTGAAAATTGCAGAAAAAGGAATAGTAAAACCTCTATAAGGGCATTCCTAAATTTTTATTTAATTTCTCACGCTACTTTGACTTGATTTTTGATTTGTTCCTGAGGTAGTGCAAATCCATCGTAAATAAACGGTGCACATATAGTTTCCATAGGTTTCAGGAAAATGTGCACTTCGGTGATTTGTTCATCCTTTCTTGATATTTGATAAAGATCCCTTTCAAGTGGAGTTTCAATCCCATACATATTTTTGTAATATTGCCATAATCCCACATCAAAAAGTGGTCTACAATACTTTAATAAATTATTATCCCACAGTTGCAGACAAGACTATTTATAGGTCTGTTTCAAATTTATCATGGATAATTTTCAAACATTTATTAGCAAATCTCGATCCCTTTGCGAAGAAATAGAATAGAAATCTGAATTTTGGGATATTACTCCAGCCTTCTTAATCATTTGAAATCATAACATATTTCTAGCAGAATTCCAAAAGGATAATTCCAATTACAAAATCCGATAAAGATATACAGCTTACTTCAATGTGCTCTCAGCAGTGTCCACAACGATAACAGCTGGATATGGTTCAGTATTTTGAAGCATGTACTCGAAAAATATGACTTGACCATATTTTGGATAAATGCTATAAAAAATTGATTGCATTGTGGCAGCATAAAATTTAGCGTGACTTAAACAATTTAAATTCATTTCGAAGAAAAACAGTATTGCAGAGATTGAGATTATATCAGATATAAAATATATCAACTATCCATTAGCTATTTATATTTGACTAGAACTTAATAGTATGCACAATTCTCCAGTATGCACAATTCATACCGATATTCTGTAGTTATTGATTTGAAAACGACTTTTAATAATTTCGATGCTTTATCTTCATCACGTAGTTTTTTGTATGCTTCTAATTCTTGCTGAAACAGATATCGCTTCATTGATCCCTGCAATATTTCTTATTACACGAATATTGGAAAACTTACTTGTATTTACAAAACAGTAAATTTAAAAACTGCATTTTCTCATGAATATCGTTTTTTTTTTTTCAATTTTTGCGTTTGCAAAGTGTTGGAAAACCAAAAGCAATTATGCTAATATTCTCTATAGATTTTTATAAGTGTTAAATCGATTTTTTAAAAGATCAGTAATTCATACTTTTGTCGTGAGTGGCAGATTTTTTGTTCTCAGGTTTTTTGCATCGTTCACAATTTCATTATAACGCTGGTCTATATCCAACCTAATAGGATTAATTGAACTTCTTCCGAAGAATTTTTTACATTAATTATTGTTTCTAAAGATTTCCACTAACAAAATGAGCATTAATTAAAATCCGACAATTGAAAAGTTTCTAACAGTAAGCAAGAATTCAATTTGCCACATATAGCACAAAATATAAAGCTTGTTGCAGTAGATTCCAAGGTCGAATTATTCACCTTTGAGCAGCCAGGAAACGTTGCAGCGAATTTTCATGGATTGGATTCAGTGATTTAGCTCTAATCTTGTATGACTCATTTTCATTTTCACCGATTCGAGTCAGCTGTCGGCTTACAACTGCATTGGTTCGACTTCGTAGTGAATCTAAACAATAAAATTAGCGAGCCACAAAGAAATTTTTTTTTTGTAAACCAATTCTAAATTTGACAAATGTATTTTAATTTAATTTAAAAATGATAAAAGACCGTTGTTGTTAGCCTTCTTACATATTAAGCGATTTACTATGATAGAAACACATTTTACCTACCAGATAAGCTAGAAGATTTAAATCGTACTGATTACTAGTAATTCTTAAAGACTGGTTAAAGATAGCGCAATATTTTCAATCTCATCGACCGCATATCGGTCGTTGTGAATCTAATAAATGAAGTGAATGCTTTCTATCACTATATCAAAAATTTCTTTGTACATAACCCCAACTTTGATTCTTAAATAACGATTTATTCATTTTTTGCATGAAGCAGTTATCGTACCCATTTGTTTAAAGCATGGATGACCAACACTGGCTAATCGAAGTAATAGTTCACATGTTATGATGGATGGTTCAGGAAAATTGCTGAGCACTACCGCACTTTGTATATCAACTTGTATTGCTTCGCATCCACGTCTCAGTAAACACTATAAAAAATTTCTTTAATTTTACTAATTTAAAATATCTCAAGTACCACAAATTGTCTCGCGCGAAAATAATCGTAGATAACTTGTATTTTTCGAAAATGTGACATCAACAAAAATTTTTTTTTTGATTCTAGAAAGATAAAAACTCCTATTTACAAATTTGTGTTTCTTTTCAATCTACTCAGTCTAGCTATTTAAATAAAATAGAACTATTTAAAAAAATTCAGATAACCTTTAGTGGAATATACGATTTGCCAAGAGGTAACAAAGACTGGGCATCCCATACATCAACAATCGCATGGCCATTTGATAGATAGTTAATGTAATCTTCTTCGTCCCCATCTGGAAATGAATTTCCATCAACCATATATCTTACCTGAAATTCCAAATATCAACCCTGTTCGAGACTATAAATTATTCTCCTCGAATATGTACGGACAAAAATAATTTTCACAGTGAAGCCATTGCAGTGTTCTTTAGCTATCTCCTCGATGTTTCCTCTGCGCTTCAGAACAAATAATTGTTGGTGGAGATTTGCTTTTGAATAAACTGTATCCAGCCATAATCTATAAATTATGATTATTTCAAAAGGTAATTTTCCCCTCATTTTGCCAGTTATGAATTTACATTTAGAAAGAATTAAGTTATATTCGATATGTTTTTCGTAAAGTACTAATTTCTAAAGTTACACAAATTTTTCAGTTGAAAAATTAAATAACAAACCTTTCAGTTGTAACTGTGTGGAAACGAAAAAATTCAATTGTAAAGAATACCGAAGTTGGTATCTTGACGCAACCATTTTCTAAGCTAAAAAATACAGCCATATTATAAGAATTGTATTAGCTAGTTTTAATTCAATATTTTAAAGCTATTAGGATAATAATTTAGGACGATTTCTGATGCTTATAGTTAGGAGAGAAAACCTGATTTCAACGGCCATAAATTGCACAATGATTTCATTCGTATGCAGTTTATCGTTCAGTTCAACATTGATATCTGCAGTCTATCATAAAATACAGTTAAATCTTCTACACTATTCAATTCCAATATTATATCAGTTATTGCTTTTTTAGAAAGAGTATCTATAAATTAAGCATTACCATCTTGCAAAAAGCAAATTTAAAGTTTTGAAAACTTGATGGAAATGCTTTACTCGACCTTTGAATCGCAAAAAATTCAATGAATCTACCGGGAAATTTTCGATGTCTACAACTTTCGGCTTGTTTCCATTGCGATCTTTGATAGGGGTGAATGAAATGTCGGCCAGGACAGCAAGAGACGTACGACATATGTTTGATGTCCTAAATATATCAGAAAAATCAATTATTGCTCTTTTAGGAAGAATATCTACAAATTAAGCATTACCGTCTTCTATAAAATTATAATCTAAAAATGTTCGTAAAATTATAAAATGATTGTAAGCGAAAAACAGAAAAACAGTTTATACCTAACTAACGGTGAACCATAAATTTTCACGCTCGTATAAGTAGTATCACATTTCAGCTCTTCACTTAATGGAATTTTTTCATCAGAATTTTCTTTTTCCTGAAATACATCTGATCAACTCTGTTTCACCAACCATGCACCAACAATTTTGTGTACACCAATGAACATATATTTTACAATCGCTGTACGTAATACGTGCGCCACATTAAGTACTTTGGCTATTTCAAAAATTATCAAAAGATTACCAGTGATGAGGACAGCAACGTTTTGATTTCGTGCCTGGAATAACTGAATCATTTAATGAATTTTTCCAAAACTTTTTTAAAATCAATATCAATTGCTCTATATTTCCCATCTAGAACATGCAAAAGCATTTCTTCAGCAAGCTACAGATTCATATATGAGTAATATAAAGAACAAAATATTGCAATCCTGTTTTCGCACATTTTTTCAGAATTCTGAGCAGCTTGAGTAGACTTAAGTTGATGTCTAGTAGATTCTACATTGGATCTTTTCAAGTTATGCAGCTGTGACTCATTATTAACATGTGTTGAAATATCTAACAGTTGCTCGATCTGGAAAATTTTCCTCAGTTGAAGAATGAAAAACAATTACTTCCTGAAAATAAATGATATACATTCAAATTACTAATTAATAAAATAATTCGCTGTGATAATGAACTAAATTATTAGCCATGTCAAATTAAAAATATATGAGGGAGGCATGGAAATCGAACATTAATGTTCAGAGACTGTTACGAGCTCGAAATCTTGACAAATTGCCCGCCGACCATTCTGACAAAGTAAAAAACAGAGTAAACAAAGTAAAAAAAACAGAATTAGTATGACTTATAACCTTTCCTAGTCCTGAACATATGAATATAATCTGAATCCTTGGCAACTGGTTGCAAAAAGGCAAATCAGAACGAAAAGCAAACGAGTTTTTAAATACCAAACGTTCATCCGGATTAATGTTTGGTCCTAAATAGATTTTCAATTTTTTTTTTAATGAAGAAAACAATAAATTAGCAAGAGAGGAAGAATATCCCTTCTTTGAAAATCAGTATTTTATGCGGAAGAGAGGAGTGAGAAGCTCACACCTTTATTCGTGCTATGTGATAAATTTATTTGAAAAAATGAAATTAGAGAGATGAGAAAACTGAACAAATAATACCTCCGAGTAAAGGGACGGTAATCTCACCATTAGGAACAATATCTACAGCGAAGGGACACCAAGCACCCCAGCAGACCACCACTGACTGCGATGAATGTATTGTACCCTGAAAACGGAATTTATCTGAATTATCACTGAAATAGTTTATCAAAGTTGATATTATAATTTCAGTAATAAGTACTAACATCACATGAATAAACTCCGACAAGATAGTCCAACGAGAAGACGATGGCAAAGTGGGGATCTGGAATTATTCTATTTAAAATCACACTTCCATTCATAAACAAACTTTGCGACTCCGATCTGAAATTTTAACAACTTTGTATTTCGAGAACAATTAAAACTATAATACTAGTAATTTTAGAATTTTACAGAAATTTACGTTAAATTTGATTTGTTCATTAGCTTATTCAATTTCATTTGCGGGATATTGCAAATTTGATTTTCCGATGAACCAAAGTGTAGACACTGCGGTTTCTCGATATAGCATAGACCGTTATGAACTCCAATCTAAACAGTTTTCAATTTCCAATTCATTTTTCGAAAATCGAAAGCTTGAAGCAATTCAAACTGTCATATTTCTGATTTTTCAAGATACTAACTCAAAATTAACTTAATTTTTGAAGAAAAAATCGACACCTCTAACATCAGAAAATCTCTAAAGAAAACAGAGAGTGTACCGTGATTCTTCGTTCCAGAACCTCCATCATTTTAATATTAATGTCTGCAGGTGACCTGTTTGCTCGATAAAGTCTGTCATTATTTATCAAATGAAGTAGAATTTGTTCAAATTTGTAGACATCCATACCGAACGACAAATTTACCTTGCTTAAAATGAACGTTCGACATTCCAGAGCTTCTGGAAGAACGACTTGAAATTCGCCTAAAAATTCCTGTATTTAATAATACTTTTTCAAAGAAAGAAAAAAAAAATTTTTAATTCAGGAGAAATTTACATGGAAGCAAACTTCACATTGAATCTAACCGTGATATGATGTTCGCAACCCAGGAATATCTTCCCACTTGTCAAACATATACCACTCAGGAATGAAGTTCAATACACTGTACATTCCTTGATATATTTCTAAGCAAATTTCTAGACTGGTATCTGCTTTCCAAGAAACATTTATCGTTTTCAATTCAGAACCCATGAAAAATAACGCTTTCGGAGATCCTGGATATAGTGGTAGTCTGGAAAAGATTATATATAAAAAAATTAAAGTAGGAAGACATCGCAAAATGGTGGATGACTGAAAAATCGTGGCTTGCAAATGAGTGAAATATTCGTGACACCTGCGGAAGGCAGTTGCATTCCTGGTGTTTTCCAACGATAACGAAGTCCATGCTGCTGTGTATAGATGACTCCAATTTTCTCCTCGTTGTTCTCCCTCAACCACTTCCACGACTGTGTCGATATTATCGGTAAATGGACACCAGAAGAAGATTACCTATAGCTTTTCATTACATTATATCTTTATACATTATATATCTCATCGGTATTACCAGAACATTGAACATCAATAGCATTTGAATTCCTAAATCCCTCAGTTTTATATTTAAACTAAACATTTTCATTTGTGGTTTGCTAATCCGATTGCAGTAAATTAGAAAGAAATCTGAAATGTACACACACCACATACGTATACCTACACACACATACATCTTTAGATGGAAATATTACCTACCTCAGCAAAAGATATGGAATCAGAGCCAGAATGGTACCATCCCCCATAAAACGGTTTCCCGAAGTAATATTTTCGCTGTTTATCATAGAAATAGGCATGAATACGATATGACTTGTCCATTTTTAACTGCAAAACAAAGAAGTTCTATAAATAAAGGGAAATTTGGGTGACATTTTTCACCATACTTCTAGTACTATCCCCAAATATTTGCAAAAGAAATAGTTACACCAGGCAGTTGCGCATTTCGTAATGATAACGCGTAGCATTCCGCTTTATCGTATCCGTGGATCGGTAAACGTCGCGGTGGTACATGCCGACACATTCGTACTTTTTGATACCATTCGTTAATATTACTTATGTCCGATTTATCTTCAAACATTACTGAAATTTTTTCAACTTTTTAATTTTGATTTTGAGATGGATTTTATACTTACAGACAAATGATATGTGAAATTATGAAAATAGCAAAAGTAAAGGTACGAAACTAAGCCTTCACTCCCTCAGGAAATCATATAAGACTTTCAGAGTGTGATATGGACTAAAAGATGGCAGGCAATTAGTTTTGACAACGAAGACACTCGATACAGTATCCCTCGTATCCATAGTAACTCTGACACTATCAATTCCAGCTTTTAAAAGTCGCGCCTTCGTCGCGCTGTCTCTATAACAAAGAGTTCGATACTCAGAATGCCCATCGGTTAAGGCAAACGTATCGATCGATTGACTACTGCTTTTTTGTATGGTGTGGTGGTGCTTTTTGTTGTATTGGTTGGCATTTGCTGGTGCTTTTCCTGGGATCTGGGGAGTTACCTGAGATGTTTAGACTCGGGATTACCACCTGGTCTGCTTATTGACCACCCTTGATCATTAAAATAATATCAGTTCATCCCGTTGACGAGATGACAACACACTGCTCTTCCAGCATATTCGGTCTCCCTGTGTCTTCCTTCACTTTTCTTTGTAGTCATGTCTTTTTATTTATTTGAAAAGAAGGGCAGCGATCCGGAAAAGATACTAATTCCGCTTGGATAACTCATATTACTGCGGTGTGATTCTTTTAATTTGTTGTGTTCATTTCTTTTATATTCATTCGAAAAAAGTTTTTCATTTTTCCGGAGTTCTCATTTAAATTGCTTTCCAAAGTAGTTATGAAAGCAGAAAAAACTCACTGATTTGCTTTTATGTACATTTTCTGTTTAAATGAGTGCAACTCGCAAATTAGCCATTCAGGCACTGATTTATTAAATGATACACAGTTCTCATATTCCTTACAGTAGACAGTGTTGGAAGTTTCCATAAATTCAAAACTTATAAATTGTATTGCGTATCGTGCGGTGGGTTTATTTTTTCCGTCTGCTGTCTCATTTCATCCTTGTTTACCTATGCTAACTTGTTCATCCCGAAAGTTTAGGTTTATTTTCCGCAAGTTTCAGTTCTTTATTACAGGTTATGATGAAAAATAGCATGGTAACGCTAGTTTCGAAACTATCTTCAAAAAATCCTGGTGAGCATTCGCAGCGAAAGACCAACTTGTACTCTTATACTAGCGACACAAAAGATATCAAAGAAGAGCAGTTAGCAGTGGATGATGTCGGATCAAAAATAAAGCTAAGCAGTTTTGGACAGAAAAGGTGAACTTCGGTTTAAGCTACGGCAATCATTTAACTTCGAACCATTATATTTCTGCAAAAGATTTCTACCATCAGCTATAATACTAAGCAAAATTCATCAGAAGAATTTCACTGAGATACAAATATTAACAAATATACCCAGAATAAGATCTATCAACAAGACTTTTAATATTCAGTAAGACTATACTTTAATAAGGATATGTCTTAAAAACTATGTTGAATTTTATGAGTTCTGCGCTGCATTTCCGTCTATATGAAAGATTTTTTTTTTTTGTTCCAGGCTTTTCTCATCGATCAATATATCAGCAGATAAATGGCTTCTCACACTAGATGAGCATTCAATGGCTAAGTTAGAGAATCCTCCATCTTTGTGTGATGGATTAGATCGAAAAACTGAATTGGTATGTAATTTGCTGCTGGTAAATTTGGCCATTATGTGGATTAGTACTTAATTTATTCAATTAATATCACTTAGTGGAACTGTTACTTCCTTTTCCAGGATTTGCGTTATCTCGGTTGCGAAATAATTCAGTCAGGGGCAATACTGCTTCGTATACCTCAGGTTGCAGCAGCGACAGCACAAATTCTTTACCAACGATTTTATTACCAGAGGTCGTTTGTTCGACATCATTTCGAAGTATGTTTTGAGTTTTCTCCTAAATTCTAAATTCATTTGTATCAAATAAGGAAAGTTTTTATGTAAGACAACAAAACTATCTTCCCATGCCGGAAATTGCCATTATTTTCTGATAACCAGAGCTTTTTGTTACCAAGGATAAATCCTTACTTCTTAACGCTGAATGCAACTTTGATTGATTAGGCATTATGTACATACTCCAGTTTCTTCTTTGAACAAGATCATTATATCTGCGTTTGTCTCCATTTTTTGTTGTCAGCTTTCTTCATTTAGTTTGTAGCATTGGATCAGTTCAGTTTTAGCTGTTGAAATTATTTAATCTCGAACTGTTATGTTGCTACCAACTGATATGGACCCCATCGAAATGCTTGTTTTTTTTAACAAGACTATACCTGTAGAAGTCTTGTGTAAATTGTTAAAACAGTTACGTTTTGATTAAAGAGGGTAACTTGCATGTTTTTGTAGGTAGATATTTTCGTTTGCTTGATGTAAGACCGAAACAGCATTCTGTTCAAATTAAGTATGATTTATCAGATTTTTTTCATTAATTTCTTTACGATCTGCACTATTTCAATCACAGTAATGATTAAAAAGTTTAGTATACGGTAATGGCATGCCTTTTATTAGCGAGCAAGATTGAGGAGGCGCCACGTCGACCCCGTGATGTCATAAATGTGTTCCATCGATTGGAGCATTTACATGGCAAACGAAATGAATCTAAGAAGTAAGTTCAACTATAATTTATTAAAATATGTATGATTATGCAGGATTTACGCGTTTAAGAGTGGGAGCGATAGGACATGGAATGGACATTATTGACACAAAGAATGGTACTTTTGAGGTTATTTAAAGTTCCCTCAGCTTATTTTTGAAATATGTCGGCTTTTTGATTAGTCGGCAGCAAGTTCGTATTTTTGCTGTTCTGTAGGCATCGTCATGTTTGCACATTCAAATCGTTATTTCATGTGACCTTTACTTCGCTTGTTTTCTCTTTTTTTGTAAAAAAGAAAGAAATAAGTACGAACTGATTTTTATCGATTTGGATGTTCTTTTGCATGCTTATGCAAAATTTCGTTTTTGACGCTTATTTCAGGCGGCAGTTTTTTCGTCGTTCTGAAACTCATATATCTGTAGATATCTGTGTTCTGACGTTGAGACTTTTTGAGCCGTAGCACTGATCAGCTGTGCAACTGAGAGGCATCACTTTTTTAGGCCCATTTAGACAGAAATGTGCGAGCTTGTACTTTAAATATGATTTAGTGTTGTTTATCAGGAGAAAAATTTTTTTCCAAAAAAATTTAGTGCCTGTTCAAAAACAGTATAGGGATATCAGCTGTCAATTAAAGCGAGTCATTTATGATGTGCTGAGAAATCGCTTTCTAGAACTGGTTTCAGTGGTACCCTTTTTTGATGAAATAAAATAACTCAGGGAATTCGGAGTATAGGGTATCACTGAGCAAATAATGGTCATAATCGTACATTAAACAAATACAGTGTATTTTAGTTCATGTCCTAATAATCCAAAAGGGAGGAAGAGGAAAGGGGTTCATCGATTAGTCATACCCATTTTTTGCATTTTTAATAAAAAAGCCGAAATTGACGGTGGGTTACTGTAAAATTGCGAAATATATTTTGTCATATTTTTAATCACTCCAGGTGACACAGAGCTGGCAGAGCGGATACACGTATGGCAGTAAAAATGCGTGTGCCCCCACTCTCTTGTACGGTCACCACATCCATCCATTCTACAGAGATGAATGAAGCACATTTGGAGCTCTCTTCAAGTTGGATTTCGTCTTTTACTGATTCTCTGTGTGTGTTATCAAAGACTACCTATCAATCTGGAGTCGGCAGATATGCACACTCTTTCGATGCTGTCGTTATACGCGTGCATGCAGCTTGCTGCACGTTGCTGTTCTGGTGCACGTTAATGGCACATGGAGTGGACGGTGGTACAAGCAACTGCTGCCTTCCTTATCAAATTATTTTTAGTAAACCATGGTAACAGCTACTGCTTATTTTTGTTTGCAGTCGCGAAATATTTCAATGTTTTCCTTGTAATTCCAAAATTTTCGAACATAATCTACCCATAATTAAGCATTGAATTACGAAGGTTGTGGGCGTGAGTTGCTGGTCGTTTCGTTTGACGATGTAGTATCTTAAAAATGGGGAACTGTTTGCTAGATTTACTTCATTCGGCTTTTCTGGCTTGATGACAGGGTAGCGACATGAATTCTTTCGTGCGTTGCCCGGAAATTAATGAGGTATGTCTTTTGCTTTTCCCAGAAACCTCTTTTATTCCTCTGCTATTTTCATTTCATGTCTGGGAAATTTTGTAGAAGTGTAATTCCTGTATAGATTATTGTTTATACATTCTCATCAGTAAATTCTGGTAATGGTTATCCGCTTATCGAAAACCACAGCAGTCTGTTTATTCCTTCATTCGAAAAGAAAGGTTTGCTTTTCTGTATTCTGTTATTGAATGAATGTTAAGAGTTGGCAGAAAAGTACTGGCGATATTTTTGTTCGTATCTCCTTTATTTGGTTCAGTTACATTTACGTTGCTTCTAATCAAACACTAAAGTGAAGTGTGAAAGATTCCATTTCCTATAGAATCTGATGATATTCATTTGACTATAAAAAAAAAAAAAAAAAATTGGTTGATTTATCGTAGTAGTGTTGGGCTAGAGCGGTTAAATCTTGTATATACGCAGGTAAGTTAATTTAACACCAAATTACGCTACTACATTTGGAAACTACACATTAAAATTTTATTAAATGCTAATTTTGGACGGAAATCATTGCGCATTTATCAATAATAATAATAATCTATCAGTAGTGGTCAGACGGTAAATGTATTCAGATTTTATTAGCTCTCAGGACTGAGAGAACTGATAATCACACCTACTACTGTAAGATCGGCAGGAAAGGTGTTTTGTGGTCTCGTAATTCAGTCTTGTGATCATGATTCTTGTATTACCTTTCACATTATTAAATTTCATTTGAAGGTTATTATTATGCATGTTGCTTATAAATACATCTTTTAATTTGAAATATTGTTTTAATGGTTTAAAAGTATGAGTGTTCTGGCTGTTTGTTTCGTATAGATTTTATTGTGCAGCATTTGTGATTGTTGATTTTATTAAACAGTGGGGGTAAGGATGAAATTAGCATTTAGCGTATACTTTAGTTCACTGACTTACAAATTTGGAATCATAATTATTTAGTCTCAATGATTGGTGGTATGACAGAATTATGTTGAAGGTCATTTTTTTATGTAAAAGTATGGTTTTTATCAGTCTTTATTGCGAGTTTGCTTCTTTAGTAGCAAAAATATAACTTGCTAGTCAAACTGAGCTAGTTTAATAGCGTTTCTTGTACGGTCTATCCTGAATGTCGCACACTTTGCAGATTTTCTGCAAATTTTCTTTCATCTTTCCTATCGTATCTTTTAGAACAGTGATAAAATTTGATTTGAGATATGTATGAATCCTGTCTAACATGTTAAGTTTTTCTTCATTGGATGAAATTGTTCTCATATAATCGTTTTTCGTTTTTATTAATTGTTTTGCTTTAGAATTGATGTTCATTCTTTTTGGATCATAAATCACACTCTGTCAAAGTCGCTCTGCACAGAAGTTTCCAATGTCATTCATTTTTTTTTTTTTTTTAATGAAGTGATCAAGAACTGGAAATGTATGAAGCATTTTTATCATTAATAAGATGGGATTGGTGGTTGATATGTAGCTTGTATAAAACTTTGCACCTTGTAACGGTGTGAAGATAATTGTGATTTATTTCTATATATATATATATATATATATATATTGTAAGTTTGTTTTTGCATGTGCAAGTCATTTCTAGTTTGATTATGTCGTGTTTATTTGTTTGTTTTTTTTTAATTCTGCCAACTCTTGACAGTACAGAAAGCAAATATTGTGGTTGTATTCCAAAACTGCAGATGTGCACTAATCTACCATAATTATATAGAAATCAGTGGTTTACTAAAGATTATTTGAGAGGAAGGAGAAGGTCAGTTGCTTGTTTATGTTGTCCAGTTTTCAGAATCATACCGAAAGGATGTGTGGTGTCTTTAACTTTGCTATTAATATAGTGTAGGCATCACTGACGATGCTTACAGATGCTCAAATCGAACTTAGATTCGTAGGAACATATAACAGTAAGGTCAACATATAATTTCTTTTCATGGGTATTCAATAGGCGTTGGAGCCAATATTTGGTTAACTGCTTGTTTGTAGATATGTTCCAATGCTTCTGGATCGAAGCTACGTAGATTTGAAGAATCAAGTGATAAAAGCGGAAAGAAAGCTGTTAAATGCGCTTGGTTTTGTAGTACACGTCAATCATCCACATAAGCTTATATATGCATATCTTCATGCGCTAGGCGCTACTGGCAATCACGAACTCATGCAAAAAGCATGGTAAATATTATGTCACAGTTGTTTTGCTTAACATTAAGAAATAGACATTGTGCTTTTACGAACTGTTGCGTGGTATGATCAGCTCCAGATTTTTTTTTAAGGAACGTTACAAATTTGCAATGTACTGGAAACCAACCTTAATGTGTTATAGGTGAGCAGTTCCTATATAATTAAAAACGGCTAGTTTTAAAAATCTGATTCCTTCTCTAAGAGAACTATTCCCCAAACTAATTTTGCTGTTTATGTTTTTAAACTTCTAACTTTCGGAATATTTACGATACACTTTTCATATTGATCTTACGTCAGATTGTTAGTTTTAGGAGTTATATGAATGATGGGTTACGCACAGATATATTTCTCAGGTATCGGCCGGAAACAATTGCATGCTCTTGCATTCATCTTGCAGCAAGAACTATATCGGTAAGTGTGTTAGGTCTAATTTATCTTCATGTTTTTTTTTTTTTTTTTTTCATTTTCTTGAATCTCATTTTGGGATTTCGAAATTTCCAGGAACCCTTGCCGCTTCCGCACGAACCCTTCCCTTGGTTTGAAGCATTTGATGCAAGTGATAGGGATGTACAGACGATCTCAGTTTTGCTTCTGCAGGTTTATGCTCGAATACGAGTAAGTAATAGCTTTATTTGTATATCTTTAATTAAAAGTGATTTCCTACATTTTTTGGTATATTGGAGTTTACTGCAGACACAATTTCAGGCGCCAAACTGGACAAGGTTGAATGATACACTGAACAAGCTACGAATCGGTCTGAGTAACGCATTTGCAAAGGCTCAACAGACGGAGAACGTAGCAAATAAAGAAGTCGAACGAGCGAAAGCCATTTTGGAGAAAAGACGTCGCGAAATCGCCAGCAAAGCTGCTGAAATGGAGCGACAAAATGGTGCTAAAAGTAAAGCTAGAGAAGGTTAGTGCAAATTATTTGCTTCTTTATATAAATTTTTCTTTTGAGCATATTGTATAGCAGTTGTTAGATCTGAAGACTTCCCTTCTGCGCGACCTGTGTTTTTTATTGTGTTTGATTGGAATTTTTCACATTCCAAGTTTATCATAGTATTTTAGGTAGTGGAAAGGAAAAAGAAGTTCAGCGTGATAGGGAAAAAGAAAATGATCACTACAATGCTAAGCAGACATCGTCTTCAGCCTCACGTTCACGCTCAAGATCACCAATCGAACCCAAGAAGTGAGTTATTTTTTATTAAGGAAATTATTCTCAGAAAATTAAATACACGAAAGACTATCAGTTTTTAATTTTCAGATTTCGCTCCTCACCTATATATTATCACCATCGGGCTGAATCAACGGAACATGATCGATCATCAAAGCGTAACCATCATCATTCAAGACATCAGAGAGATGAAAGACGACGAGCAAGAGAAGAACGGCGAGCGGAAAAAGATCGACGTCATCGGACCAGAAGTCGAGATGGTCGACGTAAAGTTACTGAAAAGGTTGTTTGACGTTGCTTTTGATTTGCGCTGGATACATGCTTTAGTTTTTAAAAGCTTTTAATGTAATTTTTAACCTTTCATATGTTTTTGATAACTTTCGATGTGCCTAAGTTAACCATATTTTTTTAAAGGATGATCTAGGTTATTGCTGAAATAATTCTGGGCTTGACGAAGGAACATGGAAGGACGCTAAAATGCTAATTAGACATCATTCTCATAAAATTTTTATGTAGTAAATCATTTAGATTTTTTAGTAAAATTTCACTTCGTCTGCCATGACGTAAACTTTACGTCATGATACTAGTTCTCGAGGAATATGATACAGCTCATAATGTTCTTTTTTCAGATTTCTTTTGTGTTGTGAGTGTAATTCTTCGATGTTTCATTTTTCAGGACAGAGTGAGCAATCAGCGTGAACGTGAAAAAGATGTTTATTTGGCCCTAGGGAAGAGAAGACGGAGTAGTGAAAGCCCTTCGCCTGTTAAAGTGCGGCGTTAGGGACGATTAAATGTACATAATTATGGAGTAATCGTCTTGCGTGACATCCGCTGAATAAAGAACCTCACTATGTTCGTTTTCAGTTTTAGAACTTGAACCAAAAACAGGAATAGATATGTTTAAGGATTTTTAAATTTTTTCAGTTCAAATGAAGTTGATGTAGTCAGGTCCCACTCCGAGATGACAGTTTTAATTTACCAGTATTTGTTCTCATACTTCCCTTCTCCTTACATTCATTTTTTATTGTGAACACTAATTCCTTATCTATAAAATTTTTTTCAAGCACTCTAACATGAAAGAACATACTTAACTTTGGTTTTTGAAGTAACTTTAAATTCTTGAATTTTTACCTCAGACTCGATCGTATAAATTGCTCGTTTTGCTTGAATAGAACTGAAAATATATTTGTCTTTCGGGTAAATGATTGTAATGTTTTTTGTCCCTTTGTATATAACACGTTGATTCTCAAGTGACTTTTGATCATTTGTTTATTATTGTTGTGCTCGTAATTTTCTCATGTCCATAAATTTGATTTTAATTTATTTGGCTCGCTACGTCAATACTGTGAAATTATGTTTTCTTCATAGTGAATTCGTAATTCAAAGTTGGAGAGTCAATTGAGGAGCATGAAAACTGCTGATGAATTCATTTAAAAATGTATTTGTGCCGAGGCACAAGGCATTGACTAAGATTTTGTGAAAGTTGCGCTGATTTCATTTAAGTGGACTAATTATATGAGGCTTTCGATTAGCGCTGTATAGTTCGAGTCCGAAGTGTGATCAGCGGAAAGGTCGGGGAGTTCCAAAATTTTCATGATAGCGGTAGTGGTGGATGCGTAGATGAAATTTGATAAACACCTCTGATTGGGATATCGGGAAATTGGACTAAGGATTACAAAAACTTGGAAAGATAAGTGCTTCATTACTTACATTGTTACAGTTACAATTTAGGGCATAGCACTGTACAATGTTGTGGGATTCAAGGTTCGAGCCATTTAAGAATACAAGAAAGTATGCAGTAAATTTTAAATAACTTGCAGGATTTTATGTTTTGGTAAAATAGGTAAACAGGAAAGATTAATTGAAAACTTTTCCAATCTTCGTTAAATACCAAAAGTCTTTCATTATCAATATCAAGCTGATGTCTCGTAGAATTCGCAACAAGAGTACTGCCACTAGTGGTTGCTAATAAAATTTGCGAAATTTTGTCCTTTGTTAAATGCAAAAGCAGTTAGATAAGATTAATTTCAATTATAGAATCACATAATCAATGTAATGCATGAAAACGACATTTTTTAAATGATTCAATTCTTTCTATCTGAAATGAGTTCTACACAAAATGGTTAGCCTCTGAATAAAATTTATAGCATCCATGTTATTTTCTAAATCTTGAATTCTCATGAAAAAATGAAAAAAGCCGACAATACGAGTTGAAAATGACCATATATTCAACAAGCAGCAATATTTTGAATAAGTTCTTTAGAATCGTATACTTTTACAAAGTCTAAAACATAGGGACAACATTTTTTGACTACTAAGTTCTTCTACCATAAAGAATGTTGCTAATTCAACTGAAAAACTACTTTGTAACTTTTAGCCTATTATTTTCCCTATCTATTCACAATAAAAGTATGTTAAGTTTTATTTCAGTCTCAATAAGTTTCTAATCAGTAACATATAATCATCTCAGTCAACGAATAATTTCATTTTAGCTTTTATTTTTTAAATTGCAATGTCAGCACTTGTATCATCTACTGCTTTTTAAATCCTCTTATCTTGTTTTTACAAAAGGAAAATCAAGATACCTCTCAAGATCTGAAGAAAAGAAATTGTATACAGCAGAACTATATAAAAGACGATCTATAAAAATAAAACTACGAATGATTTGAGGTATATTGTTGAAGAAATTAGGTATTTAGAAAACTTGATGAGACAATATCTGTGATGTACACATTCTTTTGTCGATAACATTAGATGAGAGAGTCAAGATAAGCAGCCTACAACATATGTGTATAACCTTCATTGGTGCTTTTTAGTGTTGCTTCAAATGCAAGAAACAGGTCAGGTTTAACATTCTCATTACCCTCATAAATTCAACAACTTTTCAATAGTCCTTCTGAAAGTTACTATTTCTATTTCAGCATCACACTGTTCCAGTGAATCTCAAAAATAGTTCCTAGCATATGCTAAAAATGAAGACGGATTTTCCCCAGCAATTTTTTAAACTTTACATATATCTTGAATAAAGTGCTACGGCGAATCATAGAATTTTTGCTTGAAATTATTGAATAACGATATATTAGTGAAATAGCTGCTTCGAAATTCGTCAATGAAATAGTGACGACAAATTTTTTGAAGGGAAATCGATATCCACTGTTACGAAGCCATCCACTTTCTAAATTATTGAATTTACATCTCAGCAAGAACATTATTGAATTTACACCTCATATTATTTGTAATTAATTCCCTGCCTCCCATTTATCACCTATTCACCACAGTCACAGAGTGACCCTATTAGCAAACGCTGCAAATAATCTCTAAATTATCAAGCTTTCAAACTCGCGCCTATAGATATCGTGTACTTTTGGAGGGTAATTTAATAGTTGCAACTATTTAGCTCATTTTTAATTATTTTTTCTAACCTTAGTACGACCAATCAAGTTTGCTGTGCATCATACACGAAAACAGATGGAATTTATCATATTGAAGATTAGGCCTAAAAAATCTGAACAACTTGAGCAGAAGATAAAACCAAACCAATTAATAAAGTGGACTGTCTTGATATGAACTGATTACTTCACCGCAGTCACAAAATCAACACTAAATTCATTGAAAAATTATTCCCATCTTGAACTTGTTTTCACAACTGATTAATGTCATGCATGAAATAACAAAAATTCATCCTGACAGTTAAAAAATCATCCCTTAAAATATTGACTTTCAGATATTCATCAAATGATAAGTCTACTACGTCATTGAGATTGGTTTGACGTAATTTCAAAAAAAAAAAAATGTCATTGATCACTAGGTACAATATCACAGAGCAACAAGCTTTCAGGAATATTAGGAACATACACAAAAAAGATAAGTAGCAAAGACGATTTTTCAAATGAAAAGCAAATGAAATATCTTATATAGTACACAAGAAATTATAGGCAGCTACACTTCGACTTTCAGGGCTTCGGACGTTCTTTCGAAACAAATTTCACCTGAAAGGAAACATCATGGATCACGTCCTTCTCATCTTTTTTAATTAACGTTACTGATTAGCTATCCCAATCACTCTTGACATAAAATTGGCATATAGGCTACACAAAATATCGTAGAAAGTTTCTTGAAGAAAAAGTATAGTCTGCTAAACCAGTGAAGCTGGTTTGACGAAATTTCAAAAAAAAAAAGTGTCATTGATTATTAGCTACAATACCATAGAGCAGCAAGTTTCCAGGAATATTAGAGACATGAACAATTATCACTACCAAATGGACAAGCGCTTCATAATGTTGTAAAGGTAGCTAATAAAGCACCAACTTTGGTAGGACAAGAAATGCATGAACTCTCAATCATCTTTCTACTTGAGCTTTAAACTTTACCTGCTGGTAAGAGTTGTAGGAATAATCAAAAAAGAGCTCTTCTCCAGCTACAATTGGCCTTCGTGCAAAAATACCAATACGGTGATCTCCATTAACCATGAATACCTAAAAATTAGTAGCACGGATTACAATTTTTTAAACAATTTATTCAAAACTTGAGAACCTCCATTTTCTTGTATCAACTGTTTGAAAAACAATCCTTAAACACAAAATAGCTTACTTTTGCCATGCAATTTGGATCCTTCGAATGATTTGCAAACCGAATAACGTTACCCTTTCTGGTAGCATCTACCACCATTTCATCATTTAAACCTAATAAAATTCAACAATATGATCGGGAGGGATTTCACTCATTTGAACAACTTTTAGACATGCAAAATTCCATTAAATCCAGGTTAAAAATTAATCATTGTTTTCAAATGATACAAAAGATAACTGCATTCTGATCCCTTACTGTATGTACCATAAAAACATACCAAAAAGATAACTGCATTTTAATTTGTCGTATATTTTGCCTCTCCTTTCACTTTCATCATGACTTATAACTTCACCACAGTATTCTGATATGAAGTCGTTTTTTTCAATGTCTTCTTCTGCAAAACAACCCCAACCAGCAACCTGAAAAACAGCAAATTCTTACATGTAGGAACACCATATTATGAATTTAAAAGTAATGAAGATACTGGGCACGCACCTGTGAAGGAGCAATAACTAATTTCTTCTGTAAACCACGCTGCATGGCTACATTTTTGCATGTTGCAACATTAGGGTCATCCAGAATATCTGCAAAAGTCACCCAAAGCAAGCTAAAAACTTTGTGCAATGTAAAAATCAGTAAAACCATCAATATTTTTAATAAGGAACAAAATCCCAACAACTAACCACATTTGCATGATTTACAAACGTCCGGATCACACTCCCAATTAGCATAGAAGCACTGGCACTGTTTTGTTCGGCATAAACCTGGTGCGCAACGGCAGCCAGGGAATCTGTATTTACATTGTTCACCACACCGACAAAACCTAGAATCACCCAACTTCAGACAATCAGTGAAAGAGAGAGTAAGAATCCCTTGACTAACTGAATTACACTAATAATGACATTTGCAAATTTCCGTTAACTTGAAGATATACTAACTTTGTACATAGATTATCGACACTAACGCATGAACAGTTGTTTTCTGCCGAACAAGGTCCAATGTGAGAACACGGCTCATAAACGTGGGTATTACCAACTTTACCTTCCGTTTTTGCCCATTTAACAGCACGAAATGTACGATGCTGATCTTTCATATTTCTGAAGATGATTTTGCTACAAGAAAATTAACATTTCGAATTATAATACTTTAAAATGTTATAAGATTTTAATGTGCATTTTAAGAAGTTATAATATTTTAAACACATTTTTCGGTCGTTCACATATGCCAGAAGCTAACAATAGCCGATGAGAGATTCATCCCTATCGAGGAGACCATGAAAAATATTGAACTTTACATGACACATGAATATTGATCATGCATAGAAAAGCAAAATATACTCATAATAACAAGGCAATAAAATATAAGAACACTCTATATAAGAGTGTTCTTATAACAAAATATAAGAATATTAATCTCCCCTATTTTAATGTCTTCTGTTACTGCTTTCTATTTATTACTTTCTACATCCCAGATGTGTTATGCGCCCCTCACGTTTTCCGCATATAAAAACACCTAACTTTACATTCAAATAGCACTTTCATCCGCCAGCTCGTGCTGCTTTATTTTTTAACTGAAATGTAAAATCAAAAGGCACTGAATAGAAAACAATAACGGTTTGATAAAAATCTTAAAAAATAAGAAACATTATTTCCTAATGCAATCAGTTCAAATAAAAAAAAAATACTTTTTCTTTTTCGGTGGTGAATTTGGTGAAACGTCAGCTCTCGGTGATATTGGAGCTGTGCGAAAAGAATATGCATACAACTGCAATGTGAAGCAATTTGCATTAGAAATACTTAGTTGCTTTGCAAGAGTTTATTCTGACTAAAGACTAAAAGTACCTCTCGGCAAGATTTCGATGGTGCATTTCCTACAACCAAATTTAGAACTTCAGATAATTTACAGAAATCATTTTTGTATGTACGGCGCAAAGCAATGAACATTGATTCTTGTTGTGCTGTCCAGTTGATGTCCTCAGTCTTTATATTTAATATGGCATTTATCGTTTTCGCATCTGGTGGAGAAGCACAGCGGCGTTTCGCTTCCTCCTAAAAGGATTTTTGAAAAGTAAATCTTACTACCATATTAAAAAGTCCTGCGAACCAATTCATCTCATTCTTTTTGTTGAGTTTCAAATTTTTAAAATGAAAAATTTCAAGAAATTTCAACTGATTCACCTAAATACACAAATGAAAATAGTTGCACTATAAATGCTTTCATTCAGCTACCTTCGGATGAAATCTTCTTTCCAACTTAAATCGAATTATTTAGCTAATATGGAATTCTGCACAACTTGTAAATAATGAGAAAGATTTGATATGAAGCAAATTCAAAAGTTCCGAGAAAGTAAATACTTACCATTTCTTTCGTCAAATGCCTAAAACACTGCAGTCCACAAGGTTCAACACTTGTTACTCCACGACGTCGCCGGACTTCCGTCTCTGTTGCATTGACGCCTAGGGATCATCTTGCTGATAATGCAATCAAAATCACAAAATACTTGAAAATTTCGCAAAGCGAAACAATACTCAGTAACAAAACAGATGTTTTGAAAAGTTATGAGAACAAAAACAAGATTACTGGAATTTCCTTCTTAAACAGTGAAAGGAACAGTGAAGGTCTCTTAATCCTGATAAAGCATACAGTCAGCTGAATTTTTTGCTGTTACAAATGATTTACAAAAATGCACCATGGATAAGACAATCGTAAGTGAGACAACGGCTACACAAAAGAAGTTGAAATGAATGAAGTGCTTTTGTATCCAGGAATTCTGACTGATTACTATCTTCGATGAATAAATCCGATGGACCAAAGCGCCGTTTTAGGTCTTCGAACCTAAATAAAAAGGGACTGTACCCATGACATATAAGACATAGTAAATCATAGTAAAGCGATAAGCAGCCTAAAAGTATTTAAAGCAAGAATTGTTGAAAATCATCATTCGGATAGGAATATACAGAAACGGAAGCTGTTGAACTGAAGCTTTATTCGGAAATTGTTCGTAAACCGCTCTATATATCATTTGATCGGCTGAAATTCAAACCATACATATAAAGCTGCATTAGTGTATGAATTATTTCTTATATTATTTTTTATCTCTTTACAAGTACACAAGAAAAAAAAATACGTATATAGGAATGGGATCACATTCAGATATATAGTATACGAGTGCAAAATTCTGCAACAGACAACCACTGGAGAGACAATCTATTTAAAAGCAAGTCTCTTTAAACATACCAATACCAACATCTGAATACTTATCAAACAGTTTTTTTAAAACTTGATAGAGTATGTGATCGTTGATAAATGAACCACAACCAACTTTGGTACCATGTATACCCTTCAATAACACGTTATCAATAAAAAAATTATCAGAAACAGTTGTCTAAAAGCATATTTCAATATTTCATATTTTTTTCATATTTTCAATATACTCACTTCTTGGAAAGTTTTCAACAGTTCTTCACCAAAACCAATATCATCGTCTTCGTGATCACCCAAAAAAGGAATGTGTGAAAGCGTACGTTCATCCTCACACTTAAACATAAGAATGATTACCATAAGAACCAAACTTTCATTTTATTATGGATTTCAGAAAATGAAACTTTAATGTCTTTATATTTAAACAAATTTAATTAAACTAAAATTGAGAACTGAGACCAATGTCAAGATACTTCCGCAAAACAAAAGTAAGAAAAATTATCAAACAAAAACGAACCAGGATATTGCATTCGGTGAGTGTCCAGTACTGCATTCGGGGTGTGCTCGTAACAGCTTCAATACATTTTGAAGGACATTTCTGTAAGATTGTATTCATTGCTGATCGCAGTGTGAAATATGTTGGTTGTTCTGGCATTGGTTTCAGATTTAAAGGCTTCACTCTGCTTACTGTCTACAAATAATTTCCATCAGTATGAAGAAATTTAATATGGTTTTTGCTTATATCACCTATCAGGTTTGCAATTAACTTTGGTGCCTATCAGTATATTAGCAACTATCAAAAAATGAATATCAATGCGCTTCATTTCCAGATTATTGCAAATAAGAATGCAAATATGACAATGGAGAAATTATTGAAAAATATTTGATTACCAAAATATCATGATGTCGTTTTGGTGAAGAAACGCTAATCACAAACTCTCTCACCATCTTTCGCAATTTTTATTACGCTCTTCACCCTTCGCTAATAATTTTTATCTAGTGTTAAGTCCATAAAAAAAAGACATAAGAAAAAATACAACATAATGTATCCTTAAAAAGCTACAAAAAATATGGAAGACCAATACTGCTTTAAATGATTTAGTGATAAAAACTTACTATATATTTTTTGCGTGGTTCTTCTTGCAGCATTTTGTGATACAGTTTCTGAAATTATAAATGAGAAATTTTAATTTACAATCTTTATAGTCAGTAAGGGATGCTTTAAAAATTTTGCAAAATTCTAAACTGGAAATGATGCTCAATTATTTTGAATAATAGGAACAGCAATACATACAAGACCTTCGGCATCAATCATATTTCTGTACCGACTCATAACATCCTCATAAATTCGAGTCACATCATCACGTAGATATTTGGGAAGGGGAGCATCCTCATCTTCCTTCCATCCCCTGAATGACTTTTCTTCGCCAGAGTCTTCATTTTCAACCTGTAATATAAAAAAAGATGTTGTGTAAAATTCCAGTGAGAATGGCTCGTATTAACTTCACAAGTGATTATCAATAAAAACCAATTTTCATCTTCATCTTACATTCTTTCGGAAGAGCCTGATCTAGACTGACCATTTTCTTCACAGAAAATACAACGAGAGGACAAGACTTCACAAAAACAATTAAAAGACTTTATTCTTTCAAAAATAAAGTAGCATTGATGAGACTTTGACAAATCCACTGATTTCTTATGCTTATGCTAATGAATGAAATGAAATTTCATGACGGACATCTTCCTTTAATTGATCCTTTTTAAAGCATCGTCGTTTTGCTCCACGGCTTACTTGTCCATCATTTTTGATTCCCCTTTTGCCAATATTACAACTGTTGTTGGGAGTATCCATACCACATTTGTCACTGAAAAGTTCAAGTTACCTTTTCTTCCATTCTTACTTGACTAGTTTTCAGTGGTCAAATATAAAAGACAGTTAATAACATTAACTGCTATCATTCCCTTATCTTAAAAATACGGTAAATTTAACCTCGACGACAAAATGTGTTCTAATTTAACAAATATCTGATGAATGATTGAATAAGAGATCAATCAAGACACGACCTGAAGTTCTCCGGTATTCTACCTGCCGATCGGCTAATCCCTTCGCAACTTCAAAATCCCATTACAGCTAACTAAATATTTATTTCACTTCCGCTCTTTCTCTAATTTTCATCCATCTTTTCTTCTGCCCTTAAAATATTAGCAAGATTTCCTTTTTCCTTCTCACCATCTCTTCACCTAATTTTCTCACCTCTTATCATCTAAACTCACCCTCACTTACTCCATACTTCTTTCTTCTAATACCGAAATCCGTTGTCCGACGATAAGTTGTTAATGTATTTCATTCAGAGGTCACATGCATATGCTACTAGGAATACAAAGAGACTTGGTTTTGGTCAGGTAGTGTGCTACCAACAATTCTAGTACATTCTAGTAGAGGGGAGCGGTTCAGGTTCATTGGTGATCACGGTGACTTCTTCCTATCTCTGACTGGATATGTCACACTTGACCTGTGACACATCATTATGTATAATATCAGTTTTCTACTCAAAAATTCTAATGTTATTATTTGTTCGAAATGGATATCACGTCCCTTTAATTCTTTATTAAAAGCACTGCGAATATAGCGTAAAGATGGCAAGTTAACATTAACTTTTCTCATAATGTTATTCAAATAGAATATCAAAGTGATGGAATGAATTCCTGTCTTCATTGCTTATAGTATAGCGTTTTCTTTCCTCTTGATGCATTTGTTTTTCAAATTCTTTTTAATTCAGAAAATAAATTTGTTGCAAGTAGAAAGCTAGAAACAATGTCTGCGCCAGATCCTGACGAAGCGATGGATGCCCATGTAGAAGAACCTATCGACGATAACGATTTTGATCTAAATAATGCAAATGAAGTTGATGACGAATTTGTTAGTCAGCCCATAGTTTCACCTCTACTTCCCGGGGAAAATGGTGAGTTTAAACTTGCTACGTTTTGTTAATCCTCAGTTGCTCTGTATGTAGAACTTAGATATTCATTCTAATGCATTTAGGTAGTGCCCTCCAGAAAATGCCTTTTGTACCGACTGTTGTGCAGAACGTTGTTAATTCCGTACCGTTCGATCTGGAAGCAATTCGAAACAATTATACAGGTAATTCCTGTGAATCATTCCAACCTCACATATTTTATTTGAATAATATTAAGTTTTTGTAAGCTTTTTTATTGTTATAAATTGGAGTATAAAAAATAAGTACATATCTGCATATTCGGCAACTTAGCCTAACCTTTTTATATGTTTTGTGTAATATTTTCATTTAGTGCCCATTGTTCATAGCTTATAATAATCAAATGTTATCTTTTCTCAAATTGTTCTTTTCCTTCAGTTGTGGACATCACAGTAAGATTTAAAGCGCATCTACAATGTTTTTACTTTACTCTGATGAATATACTATGATAGAGATAGCTTTCGAACTGTTAATTGAATTTATATCAAAAAAGTGTTTCAGCAGTAAATTATTCTAGGTTATGGGTTGATTAATCGTTTGTTGTTCATAGCCGATAATTGTCCTCCACTGCAAAAAGATTCATTGATTATGCTTATCAATTACATTGTTGAGGTAGCGTTTACTTTTACTTTAATTCCATTGTTGTTCTAAATTTGCATTTGTGTAAAAAAATTACAAGATGTAAATGTAAAATCAATAATTCTGTTTGAGTAATTGAATAGAGAAGTTATATTGCTTGCTTGAGAAACTTAAAATTATGAAAGTTTTATTATTTTAGTTTTGCAGCATACTTCAAATGTGCAAGTGTATCTAGCAGCTCATCATCGTTTAAATGCGTTACGTTCGGCATCCGTCGAATCACACTCAGCTGGTGTTTCCGCAGATATGAATATTGTTGATGATTTACCTCGTGTGAATTCACAGTGGATGGATGCAACTACAGCAAAATCACAGGCTCGCTTGGATATTCTTGCAGCTGAATTTAAAAGGCAGAAGGAGGAAGGTGTTAAAGTGCGTACTGAAATAAAAATTTCGTGGTTCTAAGTATTATTATATTTCATTTTAGTATATATACAGTTTAATTTGTATTTGTTTGAAAATTGGAAATTGGTATACAAAGAATTAAATTCAGGAGTCTACGAGGCGTACTATGCATGATCTTTTTGAGCAACAGATTACCATGGGGCAACTGCAAGAAGCTGCTAAGCTGTATAGTCGTGGGATACGAGAATACTGCACTTCACCAAAACATATCATCGAGGTTTTTCTTAAGCTTTTATTTCATTCTCTTGACTCTATGCTTAGTTTGTTGGACATTTATGATTGTTCAGTACTGCATATTTCCTTGCTGGTGATATCACTAGCTGGAATCATTTCTTTTCTTTATTCACAATGTTGTTAACTTTGAATCCTTTCGAGAAATAGTTGTGGCTTTCATTTCTTTCATTTATGTTGGATTTATTCTATCATGAGAATTTGATTTATTGAGACCACTTTTGCAAACTTTTTTTTGGGGGGATTTCTCAGTTAAAGTTTTTTTCGACACTTCTGTTACAGATGCTGATGAGTTGGATAGAAGTGACTATATATCTTAATCAGTGGCATCGAGTGGAACCTCTCCTCACACAAGTTGAGAGAGCTTTGAGTATGTATTTCAAATATTGATTTATTTTTTTAAAGTAAATGCAGATGATTTTGTACGATGATGTCTACATGCTGATCTATTTGTGTTGTTTTTCAAAGTTTATTTTTCCTATTTTGCACGTGTTTCATATCCAGTTTTAAGCATAATTTTATTGTATATACATGCACTTCATGTAGAACTTTAGAGAACTGAGCTTTTTGCTTAAAAAATTAATGTGCATTCATTCAGTTGAATTTTTGCTTAATTTTGTGTCCAAAAACTGCCTCAGTTCGGGGCAGATTTATTATTCATATGAGCAAGACCTTTGTTTTTTTCCATATTTCTTTTTGTTTTGTCAAATCCTTTGATGCGTTTATGTAGTTTATAGGGTATAATAAATTAAAAAGCTTTCCAGAAATTAGCTAATCCAGTTACTTATTTTTGCAGTTGAAGCAATGGAAGTGGAAAATGTGGCGGCGACATCAACAAGTCGGCCTGGTCGTCTGGCAGCAAATTCGACTTATGCAGCTACTAGGAACATGAAAGAAATAATTGATACTGCAAAAGCCAAAATTGGGGCAGTTGCTGCCCTAAATTATCTTAACATGAGAAATTATAGACTAGTGGCCGAGAAGTGTTTAAAGGTATCTTTAAAGTTTACATGATATAATTAAAGCATGAATTATCCAGATATGAATAATTGTAATCTAGGGATGTGATTCTCATGTAATAACAATCGTGCATAATGAAGCGTTCGCGGACTTCACTGTATTGTATTGGAATTTATCTTTAAGGAAAAACTATGTTAGGACTGCTGGACAGTTTGTTGCCTGAAAATAGTAATGTGCTTTGGAACAATTGGAAAACTATTTAAGAATTATCCTTTCAGATTGAATTTGATTATTTTGATTATCCAGCTTTGTTGGCGAGTAAAGATGTTGTCATGTTCGGCACCATTTGTGCATTAGCAACTTTTAGTCGATCAGAACTGAAAGAAAAAGTTCTTGGGAGCTTAATATTCTGGAAATTCCTCGAAGCGGAGCCAAGACTTATTGAATTGTTACAAAAGTTTGTCAAAAGTCAATTTGGAATCTGCTTTGATATTTTGGAAGAAGTATGCCCTTCATTAATTAATGAATTTTGTGTCAACTTACGCTTTTTCTGTCTTCCTTGTTTGTAGAATGTTATATGGGGCTTCTACTTGCAGTGGCTGAAGTAATGAAATTATAGAATATTAGAGAGAAAAGAAGACTGAAAACAACCAATATTTTCTTAGTGTGATTTCTAATCACATAATGGAAACAATTATATGGAAAGGCAAATTTAATAAATTAACAGGCAAAGAACTATCCTTTTTTGGTCGTCGCAAAACACAGAAAAAACTTTTTTCTTTGCTACAGCCTAGAACTGCTTAGACATTTGTAGAATGAGTTTCTCAGAAGACAACCAATGAACTGAACGGAATCCGTATTAAATATATACTCAGTAGGATATTCAATTTCTACGAACATTAAATATCGAAGATTGTTCAGAATAGTTTATTTTTTCCCTTTTACACAACTTTGTAATTTTCGGACTGTTGGGTATTCACTGTATGTGCAAGGGAGCATTCGTATTGATTTCTTAGTTTATTGTTCATTTAAAGGAAGTTTTTTTTCAGATTCGTGATCAACTTCTTTTAAATATGCATCTTTGGTCACATGTAAGGGAGCTGTATTATTTGATTCGGCGACGAGCTATTGTACAGTATTTTACACCGTATGCAGTTGCTGATATGGACAAAATGGCTGTTACATTTCGTGTTCATGTTAACGAGGTAATCATTTCAGTCATTTTTCATCGAGAAATTTTCAAATATTATGTATGGTTTTGTTTAAAAAAGTTGTTGCTCTTTTTTAATATATTTGTGGATCTTTTTGATTTTATAACAATAATTTTCAAGTAAGCAAATGCAAAATCTTTTATCTTGTGTGCTTGAATCATTACACTTGGATATGTAAAACTTTTTTATATGATGTATCGAGTATCGAGCTTTTTTTGAGTTGATATCTTTATCAGTCATTTAGAGAAATAATGTAGAAAGCTACTTTTTTAAAATTACTTTGGGATATTACTATCACTTCTAAAAAGATTTTGATTTAATATTGCAGCTGGAAAATGAGCTTGTTAAATTAATTATGAAAGATGAAATATCTGCAAGGATCGATTCATCTTGTAAAAAATTGTATGCAAAAATCGAGAACCAAGTTACTACTACTTACAATGAGTACATTTTTAATTTCATGTTAACGACAGTATTTGGACTTTTTTGTGAATTTTCTGTATTTGAATATGCATCTTCAGATTAAACGATTCCAATATGATCATTTTTAAGGCTTATAGAAGTTAGTAACACGATGCACCACAACATTTTGGATATCTTACTGCGGGCTGCGCTTCATCAGGCACAAATAATAGTTGGACAAACGGAACATAGTGCACGTAATAGACGTCGTCCTCTTCAGGGATCTCCCGCAACCGATGAATTCTCGGAACGTAAAATATGTGCTGGTCAGCTCATATATGTGCTTTTTTTGTTTCATATCATTAGACATGTTATTTCTGATGTTGAAAATTTGTCTGGGTACAAACTTTTTGCGTATATTATTTTTAACAAATAATCAATTCAGGCTCTTTATTTCAATAAATTATTCGGTTCTGGAAAATTTTTACATAGTTTTTGGACAATTTTTGGAATACCTTTAGCAAATATCAGAGTTTTAGGTAGCGCAAGTGATAGTGCAGCAATCTGCTCAACAAGTCAGTTACCAGGTTTGTTATGCTAAGTTTCTGTTAGTGTTTTTTTTTTTTTTTTTTTTTTTTTTTTTTTGCATGGGAAAGCATTATTGAGAATTGAATGTGTAAAGTGTAAACTATCCTTACGTCACGTGCTTTGGTGATCTAAAATTAATCACATTTAGCTTTTCGGAGCTTTTTATTTCCAGTAATTTTAAAAGATGACTATTAAGTGGAACATATTCATACTAAGAAGTTGATCCTTTCGTTTCTTATTTTGACCACATTATGTATGAATGACACTTTCGTGCACTCCTGACGAGGCAGTTTTAAATTCTCCTAGTAGATTAAAATTAGGTTTTGTTTTCAAACACGATATTTTAGGACCTGCTAAAAGTTTGATGTCACGTATTTTTGGTTCTGCTCGAGTCACTTTCAGCCCAACCAATTCATCACAAGCTGCGGAAGCAGACAGTTCAGATGAAGTACCAAAGGTTGTTACATTAAGATAGGATAAGATAATACTTCATTTTATATTGCTGTTGTCGGTAACATTTGATTTGCAGCGACATTCAGATGATCAAAAACCTCCTTTATTTCTGAAAGATACTGTTTCTGATGTTGATTGTTGTGATAGAGTCGATGAATTGTTTTTTTTTTTCTTTTTTTTAGTGTTAACTTTTTATTTTTCATTAGTTGATATTGGTAATCATTTTTCTGATTTGGTTTTAATTGTATTCTATTTTAGGCTAGTCCACTGAGAAGGGAGAACATGGAAATTGCACCTGCTGTTGAAAAACCACTTTCTGAGACATCATCTTCAATAATTGTCGCTAATGCGAATTCTCAGGAAGTAATCATGCAGCGACATTCAGGTGATCAACCTCCTTCATTTCTGAAAGATGCTGTTTCTGATGTTGATGGTTGTGATAGAGTCGATGAATAATTTCTTTTTTGTGTCAACTTTTTTCTTCATTTTGTCGTTTTATTTAGTAATGGATATCGTACTTTTTATGTGAAATAAATAGCATAAGGAAAGAAACCATATTTGGAGGAGCGATTAGGATGAAGTTTGCTAGCAAGTCGATTGAAAATACTCTTTGTATATTGTTATTGTTAGACCGGACATCACTGGTGGTTATTGTATTCTGGAATTGTGACCTTATTTCACGATTTTTTGGTTTAAGAAATTTGTATAATTAAACATACTTGAGTATAATATTAACACTATCATAATATTCTGCACTGTTTTAGTGAGCTCTCTTCGCCACTTTTAGCCTTTGAACTATCAGATCGAGGCAGCCTAATTACTTTTTAAAGTAATATTTTTTTCTTATTTGTATTGCGTTCCTTAACTCTGCCTCGAGAAGCGAAAATTAGATGAAAAATAGGCTTGTTCCGCATTTGGTTTTTTTAGGTACTAGAGAATTTGCAAAAGAAATCAGCGTGTGATATCACTATTTTTTTTTTTCTTTTGTTAAGTCCTAAAAGCACGAATATTCGATGTACAAGGTGAAGCAAAAATGCAGATGCGAAAGACGTGAATTTGTTGTCTGCGTCCCTTCAAACTGATAAAAATAAGTGAGAGTGTGCTTTCGGCAGTGAACTGTCATTGCATTTTAATATAGGACATTTGAAGATGAATAAAAATATGAAATTTTTACTGAAATATGAAGATAACCATCTCATTCTCAATAGGGTTCAGACCTGATTTTATTTTGAAACTGATCTTATTCAACTTCTGATCACTTCGGAGATCAAGTGAAGAGCTGTTTTTGTAAGAATTACTGAATCACCAGAAAAATTAATCATTTGTTGCTCGTCGTGGGAATAATAATAATAATTATTATAATAATACTAATAATGAATACTGTCGACTTGCATATGCCTATAAGCATGTTTAGGTTGTCACGGTGATGGAAGCGGAGGACAGATGTCTTGGTTTATGGGTATCACTGCCTCTGAAATCTGCTTCAATATCAGTGAAACAACACAGAGCAACAGATTAATATGGATATATTGGTTGCTCTTTCTCTTCACCAAGCATGTCATCATGGAAAAGCAATCCGACGCATATGTTTCAATAAACTGGCTTATTATATTACTAAGATCCTTTCATTTTTCTTATTTTTTTTTAATCTTTTTGAAAAGTTCAAAAGTTTTTTATGGAAAGTTTATTTGCGATATGTTTTGAATGAGGAAACAATTTCCAAAACAAAATTATGACTGAGCTAGTGCAAGATTCGTGAAACGCGTAAACATAATTTTCGCCAATATTTTATAATGAATGGAATTATTATAAGTGAAACAGATTGTCATAAATTCCTCTCTAATGTGGCTGTCTCTAAACGATTAAAAATCCCTCAGTAATGATCAAAAGGATTTTCGGTTCATTTTTTTTTTTTTTTTGTTCACCAAACATGAAAATGAATTAGAGCCTTGGCGAAGAGGAAATGCTGAATAGTTCTTTATCGCTGTATTTAATATGGAATTTATTAGCATTTAACAAGAAATAATATCTTCTGCACTTACTTATATAAAATGTTAATTACACTCACATTTAAATAAAAAGCGAAAATAGTGACGGAATTACTAATTTCCTTTCTTATTCACACCCAGCTTCCTGTTTTCTTAAAAATACTTTATTAAATTTTCCAATTATATAAGTTGATTTTTCACTTAAAGTTTTATAGTGTGAAAGGAAGAAATCACTTCAAAAAAGTTTTTTACTTTCTAATATTTATAATAACTTAATTTTGGTGCAGATTCTGCTAATTAGCTCATTAAAAAAATAACTTAATTTTGATGCGGAAAGCTTTAACTAATTAGCTCATCAGGAAATTTCCTTAAATTCATTTTTTGCCTTAGAAAGCCATTCATTAGTTTAAACGTTTGCGGTCTCAAACTGATTCAAATTGGATTCCCATAAAATTTTCGGTTGAGCGCTTGAATGCTTTCAATTTTATCCATTCATCTCTAACATTACAGTTGCTTTATTCCTATATAAATTCATCACTGAATATTTTCACTGAAGATTATCAATTTTTATAGCTGAATACTGAATACTTGCCATCAATTTTTGCCCCTTAATTACATCCTTTATCTTTCTTTCCATGTGAAAGTGGCACAACCTCCTCAAAGTAGGCATAATTTCAAAATTGATCTTCGCTAAATTTCATTCATCATCAAATTATACGCAGTTTGAAATATTGTTACAGAATACATTGTAACAAATAATTTATTTTTATTAAAGAACTTCCTTTCACATTTGGATTTTTTTAATTCCAAAGAAATATTTTTTAGTTTTTGAATGAACTTTTAGTAGTATCAGTGTTTATTAAGAATCAACTTCCAACTTTTTCCTCTTACCTGGAAGTTAAATTTATTTGAAAGGAATAGAATACAGTTTATACATTTTAAAATGACCATCATATCTAGGGATGTAACTGTAGTTTTTCCAAATCAAATGAACTTGTTTAATTGTTTAAAATCAAAAGTATTTTTTCAATTTTATTTTTTTTCCTTTCGATCAGATTAGAACTAGCAGAACGAATTTTATGTTAATTTACGAACATTTACGAGGGCTATTTAACGCTTCTAAATTCATAGTTGGATTTTGAACTAAAAATTAAATATCATTACAAATTTATGGAAAAAAATTTGTGCGAAAATAATTTTCCTCATTTCTGAAAAGATCAACATTTCTGAATTTGTGGATCGAATTATCATAAATTTTATAAAGCATACAAAACAGTATGTACTTAATTATTTTCAAGTAAAATTAACAGCACCAATAATGATATAATACCGATTGCAAATACATCCGATCTTGAAAGTTCTTTAATCTATATTGTTTATCTATTACTTATCAGCACAGAAAAGAATACAATTTTCATTGCACTTGAACTGAGATATCCAACATATCCAGCCATTATACTAAAAAAATAAGATCAAATTTCTTCATCGATAGACACATTAAATCTTCCAGTCATTTCGAATTACATTTTAATTAACAAGAACATTATTTTGTATGACAGAAAACATGGAGCGAAGGAAAGATGAAATGAGCGGAATTCATTTCAAATCATATGTAAGCAATATTTTTGACATTATTTAAATTGCAATTTAATTCTTTCTGGTTTCAAATGATTTATGAGATGTTCGAAGCAAGCTATGGCCAAAGATCATCAAGAATTCCTGAATAAATTGAACAAGAAATGCGTTATTTCTCAATTAATTTTTTCAAACTGTGAAATGAATATGTAAATAACAAAATCTTTAATAATTCAGAAGCAGTTATGGCGTTCCTTCTATGTATTTTTGTGCATTTTCAATGTAAAACTGAGCTAAATCGATTATTATTGTTCACTAATTAGTTTCACTGCACCTATTTTCCTTCCCCAATAAAAGTCGCTGTAAAATGGGAATATGTCAAAGTCAAGAAGAAAAAACGATGGTCGCAAAGAGCAGAGCAATTGATCGAGAAATGATTCAAGGTCGTACTGCACAGCAGAATACTGTAAAATTACTGCTTTTAGGTTGGTAATTAATTAGATTTTTTTGTAAGGGATTTGAAGAGCGCTGCTTATGTAGATGAATTTTTCGATTAATGCAGACACCCATTAATGATGATTAGAGTCATATTGTTCTTAAATGTGAAAGTTTTAAAATGAACCATTTTGCATCACATAAAAATTATAGTTATAATGTGTTTCTGAGAAGTCGTAGAAATAAATAAATATTCATTAAAGTATTCGCATTTTATGATATCATGAAATCAATAATTAAAATAGTTTTCAGGACCTGGTGAATGCGGCAAGAGTACAGTTCTTAAACAAATGAGGTAAGTTGTGAAACGTCCTCTATTATAACCTTTAGCAGAGGACGAAAGTATGACCTTTAATGAGCAAAACTTTAGGTCAAAGATATGTTTTCTTTTATATGGAGGTAATTTAATTGACTTTAAATTTAAAATTAAGCTCAAAAATTGTTTCTATTATTCAAACCGTTATGTTTTCTTTTTTTTCTTTTTTTTTGAAAATTTGAGTGTCTTTTTAAATAAAATTATATTATTCAGATTATTACACGCTCATGGATTCACTGATGAGGAAATTAATCAGCAGAAAACAGTGATTTACAACAATATAGTACAAGGAATGGCTTCTATTTTAAGAGGCATGAAAAAGCTAAATATTCCATTTGAGAATTCTGAACGAGATGTACGTTTGCAACCAAAAAATTTTTCAACTAATTTCATTCCATTGCAAGTTTTGATTTTGCATCAAGAATGGAATTTTTGTAGACACATACTTTGAATTTCAATAAAATAGCCTTGATCGAACGGAAATAAAAAGGATCAGTATTTTTTTTGTTGTTCTTGATCCAATTTATTTCACAAAAATTCCTAAATCTTAAAAGTTAATTTCTCAGAAGGTCTTGCAGGCTGATGCTCGCATTGTAATGGACGTCGTTAAATCAGGTAGCGAATCAGAACCTTTGACACCTGCGTTAATTGCGGCGCTGAAAAATTTATGGGCTGATAAAGGAGTTTGTAAGGATGCATACGAACGTGGAAATGAATTTCAGATGGCAGAATCTACCGCTTAGTAAATATGACATATCTGATTTGGATCATATTTTCCTTCACTTGCAATAGGCTTTTCTTCAAGTGTATTAGGACTAAGACCAGAGATCAATGGTGTTTGAGGATGTGCAAAATAAATCGAAGGATACATTAACTGATATTGACGTATAAATGAAGTCGATATTAATATAGTAGTTTAGTGAAAACTAACACGTACTCACATGTTTATAATTTAATGTTTCAGTGATTCTATTATCAATACAAATAAATAATCAAAGCTTTGCACGGTATTTTAAAAGTTGACAAATCTGTTGCTAAAAATGAAAACAAATATATGCAAGCAATTCTGCAAAAACGTTTTCGAAGATGATTGTTTTACAGTTTTCTGGATTCTGTGGATCGAGTTTCATTTCCGGGCTACAAACCCACCGAACAAGATATTTTACTTAGTCGAATTAAGACAACAGGCATTGTGGAAGTGAAATTCAAAATGAAAAATGTTGATTTTCGGTATAACTTTCTTCCACAAATTTCATTTTTCAAGTGTTTCCATGCCAGCCGTTTACACCTTTTTCTTTTTTTTTTTTTTTTTTTCATTTAATTACATAGTAGCTTTTTTGTTTAGCTTCAAGAACTGAATAATATATTTGAACCTCTCCTTTTATCGTTTTTTATAGTAAACAATATTTGAAATGCAAAAAAATTAGATAAATTTCTTTCAAAATTTGGATCAGAAGAAAAAATTGCTCATTAATCTTCTAGTTTTTTTTTTTTTATGTTCTTTATGTTTTCAAAACTTTTTTTCATTGATTTGTTAGAATAATTTTCAGAATTTTTGACGTTGGCGGACAGCGCTCGGAGCGTAAGAAATGGATTCATTGCTTTGAAGATGTCAATGCAATTATATTCATTGCAGCAATTAGTCAGTATGATCAAGTGCTTTTTGAGGACGAAACTACGGTAATTGTTCTTCGTCTTTCATAAAAGTTCCCACTATTTTTTTATATTAATTAATTTTTTGCTAGATATCAGCATCTTCTAATTATGATAACTTTTATTTCCTTTAATGTGTATAAAATCTGAATTTCTTTTTTTTTCTTTTTTGTGCAGTGTTTTTAGGAGCAAATATATCAAAACGTTTATTTTCATTAACAGAACAAATTATCAAATTAAACCAAAATTCATTTATAACAAGCAAAATAATTTGATCAGTTACTTTAATAATTAGATAAAATAGTATATATGGAAAAGAATGTATTGCAGAAATATTTCTTCGCAGCAGTAGATTTCCATAATTATTCTTTTCTAAACAAATGACACCAAATCTCTGCAAAATTATAATGACCCGTTCACATTAACCAACTCAATTCCTGCACTGAATGAGAAGTTGCAAATTAAATTCAGCAACAAAAAAAAAAAAATACCAACTAGAATAAAGAAATATGCTATCAGGGATTGACACAATAAATTAATTTGTAGTACTAGTTAGGCAAAATTAGTCTCATTCAGACAATATTTTATGCATAACTTCGGAAGAGATCGTAGTTATGAATAAAAATTTAATTTAATTATTCTATAGCTATAAAAATCAAAAATCTCGATATAGTTATGCAAAGGAATGATGATGTGTAACATTACACATTCATCGATTCACTGAAATGGTTTTTACGGTTCGATTATAATTTTAAATGAAAATCGACTTTCACACTTCTTTCTCTTTGTATTCTCAAAAAAAAAAAAAAATCGAAGAGAGGAGATAAGAAGGAATCATAGATATTTTTCTTCTTTTTGACAAATTTGAATCTGAAATTCTATTCCATAGTAAAACAATCATCAAATATTCCGAATTCCGAATAGTTTGTCAATGATATTTTGAATTATTGAATTCTTCGTAATAATAAAAGTTCCTTAGTAATAGTCATATGCTAATACTTCTTTGATTAAATATGCATCAAGTTGTTTTATCATGCGTCCGTGATAAAACAATCATCTCAAAGTCATTTCTTATTTGATCAAAATTATATCATGGAAATATAACAGAGATGTATGATACATGTTTTTAGCAAAATCGATTAACCTAAAACTGTAAAGTTTTCTTTCTTACTTTGCTTCAGTTTTTCTACTGTACTGTTTTTATGACAAACCTTCAGTTCTTCTACTATATTGTTTTTATGACGAATTTTATTTTAATTATTTGTTATTTAAATATCGCAATTTGTCACTTTGTGTGCACTCCCACATTTTTATTTTTTGTTACTCATTAAAAAATTTTTTAAGTTTTTATTTGCTAGCCTAATTTTGTTAGCCTTCCATGTTATTAGACGATAATTTATATTTCAGTTTAGTCTTTCTCTTACCACTTATTAATCATAAAACGTTGCGCAGACCGAAGTTCAAGCTTGAAACTAACACTGGTATCTGACACTTCTAAATCTAGAGCATCATTATTTTATCATTGAAAGTTATTTGATAATTAAATAATGCCAGCTTCGGAGCATATAAAAATGGTGATAACAGTTATATTTCGAAATAGACGATCTAAATAATTGAACTTAGACTGCTTACTTTAATTTTTAGCTTTGTGAAATTCTTTTTTCTTCCTCTGACTAATAGATGGCAAGAAGACAATAAAATGAACAATCAATTTTTTCCTTTTTTTCTCTCTGTTTTTTTATAATAAATAATTCTGGCGGTCAGTCATAAAATAGTGTGTATTGATGGCTTAATAATTGATCAAGGTTTTTCTAATATCATAGACATTTCTTTTCATCCAGAATCGCATGGTCGAAAGTTTACGATTATTTGAATCGATATGTAATAGTCGGTGGTTTATCAATACATCAATAATTCTGTTCCTGAACAAAAAAGATTTATTTGCTGAGAAGATTAAACGGGTTTCGATCAAAATTGCTTTTCCCGAGTATAACGGTTTGTTTAGTCCACTTAGTATTTAAATCCAAATTTTTGGAATGAAGTATATCAAATTGACTTTTTGCTTTTCTCAACAGATTATCCACTTGAAAGAACACGAACAAGCTGAATTAAGAGTAATTAAGGAAATCTTTTTCAAGTAATTTCATAATTTCATTTCAGTACAGCTGCTAATTTTTGATTTGACTGAACTTGTCGTTTGATTGAAGGAACTTTGAATTGAGAAGAAAAAATTGTAAAGAATTCGGAGAGTATTGTAAAGAACATAGATTAAAAACCATTACAAATCTTGTTTAAAGGTCCGCAAACCTATGATGACTCGGTACGATTTATCGAAGAGAAGTTCGAGGCTCTAAATGCAAATCCAGAAAAAACGATTTACACACATCAAACATGTGCGACAGATACGAATCAAGTGCAAATGATTTTGGACAGTGTTATCGATATGGTCATTCAGGCCAATTTGCGAGGATGTGGACTGTACTGAACCTCCTCGTTTACCATCTCACCATCAGTACTACATTATCATGTCACTTCGCCTGCACTTCTAATTAGCATGCGACACTCACCTGTCCTAAACTTTTCATTTTCATCGTTATACACTTCATTGTTTGCATAACATTTTTTATTCCTTCCTCATATTGTAACATCAATTTTTCTTCCATCTTTTAAAGACTTCTTCCAAAGCCGCTTTATTTCTCTTCTATCATTTCACTACTCACTCATTTACGGTGAAAATACTCCCACAGTTCAGCGCTTTTGTAATAGAGTTGAAAGAACTGACCTCCCCTCTCACTCATACTTCCCACCAGCAACAGCTTCAATTCTATATTTTCAAGACTGTTGACACATATTGAAGACTGATTCTGCGATCGCCTGTTTATTATACAGTCCTTCGTTGAAACAATGAGCTCACTGGCTAGCGGAACAAGATTCGATGAAAAATTCCCATTCTACTTCAGATCTGAATGATGTCGAGTAAATTCTAGTTTATTTAATTCCTGATTTTCCCGAGATGCCTCAGCAATAACAAAAGCTAATAGAAATGTTTATCTTTCCTGGAGCGTAAACTTAGAACAGCTATTTAGCAACAAGTTCCCTGTTATCCTAAAATACTGAAGTCTGCACTGTAATGTAGGCATGCTATACTATGAAGTGTGCCTTTTCTGGATCTTCTATGATTTGCGCAGAATTCTCCTCAGAAACTGTCAGCACTGATTCGTTGTCTATCTTACATTGTCGCCATCGACGATACAGTTCAGGAATGATCAACAGACTAGCAAAAACTGATGCCGCAGCAATTAGTTCATAAAAATCTGGCCCGAGTAACGGCCATGGATCTCTATAAATTATGTGTATTGCTTCATGTTACCATATTTTCACAAAGAAATCAAACTTACAAAGTTAAATTAAGAAAAAGCGGAACTGAAAAACGAAACAAAAGCGAAAACAAAGGCGAAACTAAACAAAAGAGAAATTAATAAATGATAATCTGGTTATGAGACTTTAACCAACGATTTTTTTTTTCAGAACTTCCCTGTTCTAAAGAAGAAAAAGATATTTGTAAATCAGATTCCCGAACTGATCTATGACCGTTATCCCGCTATGGTTATTTTTCTAGATTTTGCTCGAAACTAAATGAAAAAAATTTGTGGGTGATCTTAGGAAGTTTACCTGTAGTAATGCTGGCAGCATTCCGCACCACAACACCAAGCGTAGGATGGACATATCCAATAAATATGATTCACTGGCTTTTCTGAATCCTCGATAAAAATATTGCTTAGTTCCTGTAATCACAAGTGTTCTTAGATTTACTTATTTCGTTTTTTAATTCTAGTGCTTTTTTACTTTTAGTTGCCAGTACTACCAAACGCAACATTGTCGACCTCTAACTACCACAGTTAACGTATTGGTTAAAATTAATCCATAGGACTACTCCATCTAAAATAGTAATTCCATATTTTTGTGAATTAATTGTTTTAAATATGCGATATCTTTTATCAATTCCTCATGAGAAAATATTGTTTGGGAGGAATCGTGATATCTATAGCATTTGTTCAAAAATTTTTTAACTTTTTTCGATTGCTAAGAGCAATTGCAATTTTATATTGTTGAAAATCAATAACAAATTAGGAGTTAAGACTTGAATTTTGAATATATTAGCTTATTTATTAATTTTTGAGATTTTTTACTTTCCACTATTCGAGTTTGTTTTTCCCCTCATGTCTACCTAGATGCCTGACTGTTATTTCTAGAAATGTCGTGCTTACGTCAAGACTAACTATATCTTCATCAGTAGTAACCTTTAATTGAAACTACTGTAATATGATCAACGTGCAGGTTGCTTTATTTATTCCATTCCACTTGCATTTTTAATTTTTCATCATTTTTTTCCTCAGTCACATGTATTGTCGTATTAATCTGCTATATGTGGAATATTAACTATAAAAGTAAGTTCAGTTTTAATTCCATGACAATGTGAGCAAAGAGGTCACCTTAATCTCGAAGACTTTTAAGTGGCATAATTTTCCCGTTTTGGGCGGTTCAGTGACATTTTCATAAGCATGTAATTGATATTTAAGATCATAATGACCAACTGGAATATTGCCATTACTTAATATGATCCTTAGCGAGTCATTTCTTGCAACACCGGCTGATCGTAGATAATCGCGTAATTTTCTATAACAGAACCAATGCTTCCACGGCGTATAGTAAGTGAAATATGAAACGTTGACTTCATCTGAGAGCGAAATCACCTTGAAATTCTCGGTATGGATTAAGAATGAATGATTATGAAAATCATAGGTATCCATTCCTTCTCATTTTAACTTTTTTTTTTTTAAGTATAACAAAATAATGTTTTAGAAGTTCCAAGAAAAGATCAAAAACATGCTATGCGTTTGATTTTGAATTAAAGAAGCAACAGTCCAGTTGTTTAGTTAATGATATTTTTGGAGTGGTTATGGAGCTACCAAACTGTCTCAAATTATGCTTATTACAAAACTTACAAAAAACTACTGTGAGCAGAAAAATCACTTTGATCATAATACATGCCATTTCCAAACGTAGAATAAAATTTGCTCGGATTTGTTCCTCCTCTGACGAATTCAATTGCAGAAAGCAACATTGTTAGAAGTGTGTGATCCGAATTCATCACCTGGAAGATGATTTTTCAATAAACAAATCATTTAACGCAATATCAAATTCATCGCTCTCAGTTTGTTCACTTCTCTAAAACATCTAACGCATATTTTCCTTCATATATTAGGATAGCAAAAAGTCGATTTGTTTAAAAATTTTTTAATAAAATGCTTAATCAGCAAAGACAACAACACGTCGATGATATCACTGGCTGAAGACAAACTCACATATTTAATCGTTGGCTTCGAAAAACGAAAATAATGGTTATGCTTAAAACATTTGCATATCAGAATAAAATAAATATTCCGTTTATGAGATTGCATGATGAAAATGAATAACGAAAGGTTTTAGAAAATGAGAAGCTGAGACTTCTTCTTTTTATTAATGCATGTAACCAAGCTTTAATGCAATCCTTTATCGACAAAAAAGGAATTTTCTTTAAAAAAGTCCCAGTTTTTTAATTTTATTCAGCACGCGACTTTTTTTTGAAATGCATTGATAATTAAAAAGTTGAGAGTGTGTAATTTAATGATTGTTGAAGAGAATGGAACACATAGTTATGAACATACTGTAAAAAGGTGGCAATAAATGGCGCGTGAAATGACAATTCTGAATAATAAAGATTTTTTTAATTTCGCTAAAAGAGATATTTTCGTTCTTGAACAATTTCTGCTATTATTTTTTATATTGATATTGTCGCATTTCCTGTCCAAAGATATTTAATCTAAGTTAATGGCATTCAGAATTTTATAAGTGTTAAGATCAAACCAATTAGTTTAATACCTAAACTTTCTCGAACTTCCTAAATTTAACCTCTAAATTACAAAAAAATTCTTTTGTCTATAAATAATGAGCACTGTATCTTCAAATGTCTATTTTTTTGTACATTTATTTTATCGTTTGAAGTAGCTCAAAAAACGCATTTCTAAGCTAAGTTACTCTTCTTCTAATCGTAAAAAAAATGAATAGAATTTTCGTTTTTTGACCTTAAAACCAGAAGACTATACACAATATTAAATCATTTCTGTAATAACATAACTTTTCATTTGATGACGAAATTAAACAAGAAAATTAATTGAAAAATTTCATTATCTGAACAGTTCATGCTTAGTGCATTACATTAAACTATACATTACTGCTGAAGGACGAATGATTACATAAAACAAGGAAAAAATTGAATGTTTTTGTATTAGTGCTCCTCAGATATTTTACAACATTTTAGCGGTATAATAATTCATTCCGGTAATAATTCTTGAACTGCTTCTTAAATTGTGAAAGACAAAAAGTTCACAATCACTTGCCAACTGGAACAGAAATACGGAAATTAAAATCTAATAAACATTTTCTCCTTACCTTCATGTTCTGTGGAAAAGAACAAAACATTCATTTGAAAAAAACAGTCTTCAAATTTCTTCTATTTTCCATTCCTTCGACCAAAAATGTGTAAAATTGGATTACATATCTCATAAAACTTCATTAAAATTATTTTAATGTAATTTCGTGCTGGGAACAATTAGTTAAACTTATACTAACTGTTTCCTTTAAGGTGTCCAATTAAATTAAATAAGCAGTAAGTCAATGTTTAGATGTACAAATTTAATTTTGTGAAAAAATGTAGGACTATATAGTTGAAGATTTTCGATGACTCAGAATTGTCGCAGAGAACTGAAAATTTTAATGTGAAAGTGCAAAAAAATGTCAATTTAGACTTTTCTTTTTTAAACAGTAATAATTGTTGCGAAACTGTGATTCATACAAATCAAACGCTACCAAAGTATCTGTTTCAAGATAGAGTAATTCAATAAACGTTTCCCATTTTTAATTAATCGCAATTATCATAATAATCGTAACGGTAGCACAACATTTGTCTCTTTGGACAATTGTTCCTCTTTGCTAGCAATTATTCAAAGCAGATTCTAGTTAACTGTATGCCGTCCTTAAATTTTTGTAGATTTTACGCAAGGACTTTCATTTGTGAAATAAATAGCAGTCCACAAATATCTATTCAAGAAAGTATTTGGAAAAAAAGAAAAAAATTAAGGTTGATATTTGTGGGAAAATAGCTGAAGAGAAAAGGAAGTGGGAAAAAAGAGCAAATCAATGGGTTAAATGATTTGAATTTAAATTCATCAACCTCACTGCAGTATAAACCTATAATTTTAGAAATTCAAGAGATAAAAGAAAATTAATTTTCATAGAAATAAGAAAATTTAGCAATCCACCGGTGGGAAAATTGCCATTTTTAGCACAATGATCGCTTGAAGAATATGAAATATTTTATTTGCCAATGGGTGAAATTGAATTAATTGGCTTGAAATGTTGAAATACCTTTGTTTCAATGTACACATGGACATCAAACAATTTCATTCATAAAAGATAGATTTATAATGACTTGCCTTTTCGTCATTGTTCTTCAGAGATAGATATAATAATCTCTTTTGAAACAGTTTACACTTTTTATATTCGATTGATGGGAATCATTTCAAAGTTTTGTTTTAAACTTTCAGCACAACTGAAGTGGTAGAATTCCTAAACGAAATTTTATTGAAATATCCAAACTGCTCTAAGTGATTGATTCACGAGATACATGTGATGTTGCAAATTTATAAGAAATGAATACAAGTCAACAGCATCAGCATCAGCCCACTGACCATTACTATCGAATGATGTGACACTTCAGCATTCATTTCCAGCGAAAAACAATACAGTCCAAAAACTTTTAAAGTAATCGACGAAAAACGAGATATTTTGATTTATCGTATTTTTAACCGGGATAGATACGAAAACAGGTGGATTACGGAGGACAAAATTTGAAGTTAGGAGAAGTAATAGATGACGACAACGATAAAACAAGTTTGTCTGTGCGGAGCAGATGAACTGATTGATCTCCAAACAGAAGGAATACAGTCTTTCGATAGAGTTCAAAAATGAGAACAATCTGAACTCCTCATGTCTGCAATCGTTATATTTCTTATTTTAATTTTATTACGGCTCTCATTCGCTTAATATAATTCTGCAAACTACACCAACGATCAATTTTATTATTCATTGTCACCAAATATCTAAAGCAACAGCAATGCATTGCCAGTTTTTGGAAATGAATGCATGCAACAACTCATGAAAGTGAGTTCGATCGAAATCACTTTCATTGCTAAAAATTATTGTCAATCTTAATTCAAATAGTACAACAAAGCTGAGTGATAATATATTAATATATAATATATATATATATATATATAAAATAGAGAAAATTCACCCGTGGGAGCACTACAAGCAAAATTTTATCAACAATGAACTGAAATAGCTGCTTATTTCGAAAGCAAACTAAATAGTTGTTAAAAATAAAGTAAACTGAATCAATGATAAAAGGACTATCTCTTCAACTCAAAAAAAATAATATTTTAAAAAGCTATTGTTTTTAAAAAAAAACCATGATTATTGCTATCTGAAGAAACTCCATGAGAAAGTAAGTTTATATAGTTATAATGAAATAAACAACCAGTTACTGTTATTAAGATTTGATAGAAATAAATCCTAGCAGTAGAATGAAAAACTTTCTTGCTTTTGCATTCAAAACTATTTTGATGGGAATTATTTATTCTACTCTATAATTGCCGCTACTGGAGAAAACATTATAAAAAAGTAAAGAAAACATCTGTGATGTGGTAAGCTTCTGTGACAATAGCGCTTTGTTTCAAGTAATAAAAATGAAGATTTAATTCATAATTTAGTATTATTAACTAGGCAAAAGGCAAGAATATTCAATATTTGTGGTTGGAAATTCAATTTATGTGTATCTATTAGCAGCCTCGCGCAATAATCGCCAAAGTATTTTACCACCGGGTGACCGAGGCAATGTCATTGCTATCACAACAACATCCACCTGTTTATGACGCATCACACGTTCTGAAAATGAAAGTAATGATTAATGGATATTTTGCAAGATATTTTGAAAGGATGGTTATATGTCAAATATTCGAACCAACTTGCTGTTTTCGTACATGCATGCCGTTCTTCATTGAATTAATAATGCAATTTATTTTTAAGCTAACATATTCTCATGATCTTGACTGACCACCAGTAATGCTGAATCATCAATTTCTCCCATCATATCAAATTTCTACCAAAATAGATCAGTTATTGCTCCATAAATCACTCCTATCGAGAAATAAGTGTAGTGTGCATTCCAGGTAAAGGTTAAAATATACCATTAATAAATTCCTTAATCTGTTCAGCAGTGGCAGGCACACGTGGTTTTAGCACCACGAAAGCTACGGGTATTTCTTGCTGATTCACTTTTGTTGCTGGTACAATCGCTGCTTCAGCAATGGATGGATGAGTTAATAGGATTGATTCCAGTTCTTGTGGTGTTACCTAAACGAGTAGACTTAGTATTTTATTCAAGAATTTCATAGTTCATAAGAAAAATCAGTTCCTAAGTAAAAGTAACAGAAGTTTAACTATCTTATTTTCATTCTTTACTTAAGTGCAACTGTTGATTTATTATTTGAAAACATTAGTTAAGATAAGCAATCCTAAAGAAATATTCACAGATGAATCGTATCTAAAAGCATTTCTTTCACGCTTTTTTTTCAAAAGTTTGAAAAATTACCTGAAAACCATCAACCTTAATCATCTGTTTTTCTCGATCAACAAGGAATACATTGCCATCCTTATCATAGAATCCAATATCACCTTCAAAATTCATTAAATCATTTCCCATGTTCTTAATATTCGTATTCAACAACTATTATTTAATATTTAATTCTCTTTACGACGACTTCATGTTCAAATATTTTCCCGGCTTCTTACATTACAGAAATTTATAGATTTATGAGCATCTTCTAACGCAATAACATTACTTTTAGAATGTACTAATTAACGAGCATTCTGTGTTTATAATATTTTTTAAAATTTCTATTGAGTTTAACTGTTTTCAACTAAAAGATGTCACATGTACCGGTATTTCTCCAACCATTTCGCTCAAAATCTTCGAACGTGGCCTTGTCATTCTTCCAATACGGTGATACCACAGTTTGCCCTCGAAGTAAAATGAGGCCTTGCTCATTCATACCAACTTCAGCCCCACTAACCATATCTATCACCTTAACAATTTTCTTATTACTATTATTTTACAAAATCACTAATCTTTCAACAATTTTTTTTTTGTCTTTTCTATCTCTTAAAAGACTAAAGCTATTTTAGAAGCTATTTTATCTTTTTAAAGATCAAACATGAAGCGTTTAAAAAAATCGAATTTTAAGCAATGAAGAAATTACCATCATGCTTAAGCCTGCACATAGTGTTCCGCATGAGCGAGATATGAAAGGAGAAAATTTAGTTGTCCTACAGATAATTCCTACTTCTGTCATTTCGTAAACTGAAATGGTTTAGAATTGAAATAAATTATTTGTATGTGAACTACCTATAATTATTGCTGTGAGGACATTATGTCACATTTTCAAGAAACTAAACCAACAGAACTATCCACACTAATCTCTCTTTATGATTCATACCTGTAGAACCTGAAACATGAAAAAAATAACCTTACCGGCACTAAAATGCTTAACAGATGGTAAGCAACGATATGCACGCTTTATCGTATCTTCACCAATCGCTTCTGTTCCGATTATTACATTTTTCAAATGATAGTATGGATAATGGTCAATTATATCTGTATCGCAAAGATGCCTTAGGGTAGTGGGACTAACAAATAGTGTCTTAACCTGCAAAACAGTATGTATCAGCAATCAACGGAGCCTATCAACTCAAGGACCTATTCTGAATCTCGTATAAAATGAAGAAATGAAGGTTGGACGATACGATTAGGGTATGAAGTTGTTGTAACTTCCTGTGGTTATAGTATATACTGCTTTGTAACAGTAACCTTTGCTCTTTATAAATAAAGGAGGTTAATATGGGATACTGCTGCTGAAATAATTAAGGTAATTAAAAACTTATGGCAGTCAACCATAAAGCAAGCAGATATAAGTGGCATCAAACCTTATATACATGAATGCACTTTGCTAACGTCTTCACGTCATCTGTAAATGTTACCATCGTTGCACCATTTAATAACGATGAAAAAAGCACGTCACGTCCGAATGTATCATGAAATAAAGCACTGGATAGAATAAACTCACCATGACTTGGTAAATCGTAAGCCTCTCTACTGAAATACAGCGCAATCAGAAATACGTAAATGATTAGAAGCGATTTTTGGTATTTTCTAGAGATGAAGGAGATATGTATGCTTATCGTAATCATATGATAGTTATGATAAATACATGGGTGATAATATTGGCAGATATGTTTTAACGAATTAGTAACAGAATCTGATAGTTGCTATCACAAATTCGATAAGTACTTGACTACTGTTACTAAGAAAGAAACTTGTATGATATGATAAACTTAGAGTAATATTATAATTCAGGTACCATCCTACTAGCTCTTTCTAGAACTGTCTTTGATTAATCTCATCTACTGCTTTTATCATTTATGTTGTAATTTCGTTTTTCTTTAAAAGATGAACAAAGCTTTGTTAGCTTTTTAAAATACTGCTATTAATTTCTAGCCTAAAAAAATATCAATTTGCTAAATATTTGAATGTTTAAATAAATAACTCACTGCAATGAAAGATATCTTACTTGTTGAACGTTTTTAACATAGCGTTGAGGACAGAATGCGTTATGGCAACTCCCTTTCGTGGTCCACTTGTTCCTGTTGAATAAGGTAAGAAGACAATGTCCTCTTCAGGCATCATTTCTGGATATGTTGAAGAACAACGAGCTGCTGTCAACGCTAAATCATTCAGGATTGGAAATCCCTTTGATACCTGGCGATTACCAATGCAAATTACCTGAAGTCATATAAAATCTCCACATTGCATTCAGTGCTAAAATTTATGAAAGTATTCAGCAGGAATTCTACTAAATTATCATAAATTTTTGAAACTTTTTATATACCCTATGATCAATGTTCAGCTCGGCAAACACCGTTGATACGTTATTCAATGCGTGCGGTACAACGAAAGCGAATCTCGATGTTGAATCCATTATTTGCCAGCGCATTTCGTCTGTAAATTGAAAAGTTAGAATGCTAATTCAGTTAGTGAATTTTATCACTGTAACAGATTTGAGAATATCTTCGCTAATAAAAGAACAAATAAAATACTTTCTCAAAAAAGAGAAATAGATTTATTTTATTGCTGTAACATAGAAATTCTGCAATTAAATAAAGTCGTTGAAATAATTTTTTAGATTCTCTTGATTACAAAATTCTCTTCCAGAAAAAATTTATAGCGATGACTGAAGAAGAGGTAGTTGGAGAAACATTAAGTAGAATATCATTGCTGCTGCAAAATTCACGCCTCGATTTGTCCAACTCTTGAAGCATCGTTTTTCTAATATGTTGTTAGAGTTGTCGCCAAAAGGAATTGGACTCTTTTTGTTATTACTACAGGCTGCATTATTGACTTCTCGGGTGTACTACTAGACATTTGGCTTCGCAGATATTCAGAGAACTAAGAAAGTCTATCAAATTCGCTCCAAAGCAACGATTCAGTTCTCGAGGAAGTCACCTGTTAAACTTTATTTTTCCAGTTTGCTTTAAGTGTCCAAGACTATACCCTGACGTCGAGTTATTTGAGAACTTCTTGTGCATGTATAAGAGAATCAATTTCGATCATTACTTTCAGTTGTCAACTTCTGATCACATGATCACTGCAATGGCCAAACCCTCATTTCAAAGACTCTTTTCTCCTCCTTGGACGAATACATCATCGTTGCATGAGTTATCGTCATTTTGATTCTTTTTACGATTTGTTGTCAGTCTATTATCTATTCATAGCAAGGAATACGTTATTAATAAGAAATTATAAAAGAAGAAATGAGCAATAAAATAACATATAATAGAGTGATGCTTATTTACTAATTTATAGCAATGTCAGATGGATACGCCATCCTTTAATGATACATCAACATTGCTTGATTGTTTTTAGAAAAATAAATAATTTTCGAAAAGAAGATGGATGAACCTTTTGAAAAACTCGGGTGTAATGGACATACAATTCCACCAGCAAGTGATATTCCCAGAAAGAGCCATACGAATTCTGGACAATTTGGCACGCATAGAATTATTGGCTAAAATATTAAAAGAAAATAAATTTTTGGGGAATTCACTTGAACTGTGTAGAAGAGAACAAACATTTCACCACTTGTTGAATGTTGGATATTTATAGTTTTATTTTTAGATATTTTTATTATTTAGTTTTATTTTTTCACAAAAAGCTATTTAACTTAAGAAAAAGTGAAAACAAAATAATGACAAACTAATTAAATATTTTTTTCTCGGGGACAGCAAAAAATTTGATACCACTCCAACAACTGAAGTTAAAGCAGTTTATGCCTTTTAATATTAATCATTTTCTCCCTGTAATCTTTAAACATTTCTTTCTTGAATTCAAAAAAAAAAAAATTCTATATTTCCTAGAAATTTATTGCTCTTACCTCGCCTTTTTCTATTCCCATTGCAAGTAATGAATTTGCTATGTATTTTGTTTTAAGCAGAATATCCTCAAATGTAAACGTTTCATCGGTATCATTGTTCACCTATAAAATGTAAATATTAAACTGAATAATTTCAAAAATTATGGTTACGAAAAGTTTTGGGTTTACCAATGCTATTTCATTGCCATATCGCCGCATTTCGGAAAAAATCATTTCGTGAAAAGATATACAAGGAACATCAACATCTATAAGTTCAGATTTTATCGGCATATTTGACTAAAGTAGAAGATGAATTCGAAGTTTTTAAAGGAGTAAAAGTTCTTCACAAACAAGCACTGTTGCTTCAAGGTTATTAATTTACCTGAAATATAGCAATAATCACAAATATCAATGATATCTGACACATTTACTGTGGTTACGACTGCTTGTATCACAAATTATAAATTACTAATTTATTTAAAACGATAAGTTAAAATCCCTAATTGAATTAAGCACAGTCTATGTGGCATGTAAATAATTTGGAAGTACCAATGATGCTATGATAGCTTTCTGAAAAGGCATTTAAGCTTCAAATGATTTAACGCAAAGTGCAATCGATCGTGTGTTACAACTCGTAAATTAAACATTAATTTAAGACTATACTATATGACATTACTAATTAGCTATTCTAGCTATTATCTTCAAGCATATTGATTTTCCATCTTGAAAACAAACAAAAATTTAAAATTTAATAATTTCTTTTATTTAGGAGGAAGAAAATGAAGTGAAAGAACTAATGAAAGAGAAAAGCTGTTAGATTTTCAAGTATATATGTATGAATGCCGTTGCATCACAAAATTACATCTTGATCTTACTTATTTCACTTACTGCTAGTTCTATATCTCATCGCAACTCGCTTCACTTTCTCTTCATCACATGTTGTGATACACACAATGAACTTTGAAATCCTTATTGATTGCTTAAAAGCGGAAGTCATCACATTTTTTTAAATTAGGTTAAGTGCACTAAGGCGCTTTTGACAATGCATCGTTTACAAGTGATTTGATTATTTCTTCTTGGAAATTATTATCGTGTCAAATCTAGACTCGTAATTTGATCAGGAAATTTAAGTGAGATTTTGGACTCAAATGTTTTGGTCAGGTATTCCGGATACCTATTTTAAAATGAGCTAAACATACAAAGTAGTGAAATAATTTATTTAACTCGCTAGGCTGTTTTCATAATCCCTAAAAGTTTTGGAAAATAAAAGTCTTTAGTTATATCAATAAAAAGGCCACATTCTATGCGCCCGCATTCTGGGAAATTGTTGAAATATGATACTGATGGGTTAATCAGTATTTATGACTATTATAAAATAATCTCAAGTAGAAATTCTGTTCTAAGGCTTCAATCACTCTAATTTCAATTATTCACAGACAATTAATAACATAAAAATAATATGACTCATTTGGTTCAGGATTCTGTTACATTCTGAGGTAGTAATGATATCACTGGAATAAAATCATTAGAATGATTTTAAAGATAATGATACAAATAACTGGCATTTCCAAACCGATCAATTGAATCACTAACAACAATTGACAACATAAAAACAGTGGTAAGTCTTTAATATAGAAGTACACAAGAAAATCATTTTGTAAACAAAAGTTAGCCACAAGTAACATCACTTTGTGGGACCATTAAACTCTCTCTAATATTCCTTCCAACATACCAAGAAGCGCAAAAATACTTACTACTTGTTTTTTGTAAAGTTATAAAAGAACAGGTAAATTGATGAGAAGTTAGTTCTAAGCTCATCGCAGCAAATGTTTTTAATTCTCTTGTTTTTTGTCAACAAAAATTGTTGAACAATTAGTTATCTTAATAATTACAACGAAATATTGACTGATTGCTTTCGTAATATTAACACGTTCTTCTATCAATATTTGGTGCACGATTACTCGTCATTTGAGATTTCAAGATATGAGATGATATGATACTAGTCTCATTGATCCGGCTAAACTTGAAAATTCATCGTTAAGTGCTCCTTTTTTTCCATGGTGGAACAATATTTCTTCTCACCCTATAAAATTTCTGTTACTAAAGACTTAAAAATTAGATAACAAATAAAAGAAAAAAAAAGGAATTAGATAACAAATAAATAAAATGACATGCTTTTGAACTTTAGCAATTTTCCTATTGGAGCTAAATTTTTTTGCTATATTTTATAAATTGCAAATTCAAAAGCTATTGACTAACATATATTCACTACCATTCATTCCAGTCTCTTCGATATTTTGCCTAAATTATTCCGGCAAAAAGCGATGATGGATTTAAAACAACTAGACTAATACAGTTGGCCGTGATCCAAACATCCTTTCACACATGTAATTCATGAAGTATCATGTAGTTATTTTTTTTATTACATAGACAAAGAAGAAAATGAGAGGAATGAAGAAAAGATATATAAGAAAATGGTTACCGGTTACTTAGTTGATTGAAGTTATGATCAATCAATAAAGTGTGCAGACAGCAAAGTACAAGAAGACAAAGCGTCAGAATATTTTTCTCTTGATAAAATCAAGGAATCACATACTCAAATTTGACTTTCTTTGAAAAGTAAAAATGAAATACTTGCAATGAAAGAAGAATGCAGTAAGATACATAAGTTTCTTACCAGTTAACAAGTATCATTGAAAAGTTGGCAGTTGTTGTCTCAACTACATTATTAATAGTTTATATTTATTAAAAAAAAGGCCGCCTTCACTCAGTTATCTGTGTTAAGTTTTCTGAAAGTAAGTTAAAGTTGGAAGGTTGGTATTTTTAAGCCAAGATCTTTGCCAAATGATTCTGATACTTTTACTAAAATTTCATTCAGTTGTAAAGCACTTTAAGTTGTTAGGAGCAAACTGTGCACGTTTTCAATACCTCTCTAAAATAATTAAATTTTAACAATTGAATTTCTCAGTTCTTAACAAATTTCCAGCTTTTAATGGAATAAAACAAAATTTAAAGTAGTACCGGTATACTGAATTTAATTAACAAATGGCAAATTAGTAATTTCGTTTAAATTAAATATAAAATTATTAAAAAAAGAAAAAACAATTTGAATGAATATTTTTGTACAGGGACTTTCTTTTTCAAATAATTATTGAGAAATAATAATTACGTTTCCAAATAATTATTGAGCTTAACTTTAACTTGAATTAAATATATCTTTAATTTAATGAAAGGAATTTTTCTTTTTTAATTTAATAAAAGCAAATTCTAAACTACTGCGAAGAGTCAGTGCACGCTACTTTGAGTACTTTGAATTCTGTTTGTATTGCTTTCATAGATGTACAGAATTATTTTTGATTACGAAAGATTTAACTGGGATTCTCTAATAATTAATCACTTCTTTACTCTTGTCATACTTCAAATTCATTCAAAAATGGAAGTTATATTATATGTATTTTTAATTTCTGCATAAATTTTTGCATAAACATCAATTCATTTTACTGCTTTTTTTCAACTGATTTTTCAACTTCTTTCATCCTCATCGTATTTAAGTTAGGCAACTAGTCACTTTCATGAACTGAAATACGTTCTATCGAAATATATGATTTAGTATACGGAAATCCGAGAAACATTTGAACTGAAACGTATGAATCGTTTGTGTCAAAGGCTTATAGGAGATTAAAATAAAGGTAAATGTTTAGCAAAATCGGATGCAATAGGCAAATAATATAAAACAGTAAATAACCTGATAATCGTGATTAATATAGTCATAATCAGAATCTATTTATTTTCACCTCTTTTAATTTGTTTCACATTTTACATTTAATTGTAGGTAAAGTTTCTGAAACATTTCCGTAAAAAAAAAAAAAAAACTGTCAATTCTTTTTTATAATTTAACAGCTGAAAAAAAAAAAAAAACATAAATTATGCATCAGATTTTTACATTTTCAAAAAATTTTAATTTTTTCTGTTCTTTAGATCAAATTTGAAGATTGCAGTTTTGTTATTTGTTGTTCTTAAAAAAAGATAAAAAGCGATTCAGTAGAGTGTGATTTTCTGATGACTAATTCTCAAGAAATTACTCAAGATTTTGAAGAAAGCTTTAGTGAATGATGGGATATAGTTCTTTTCATTAAGAGGAGTATTCGCTATGAATGGAATATCTTCGCATTACTTTAAAGTACAATATTTATTTTCTAAATGATAGATGAATGCTTCATTGAGACTTTTATTTGCGTTAGTAAGAAATAGCGAAGTCGAGAGATGTCAAGTTTTTCCGCCAAGTAGTGAGGTACACATATATAACAGAACAAGTTCTTGCTTCTATTGAATTTAATGTCTGCGGGAAAGGTGTGTTTTAGGGAGGATTTCGATGAAGAGGGAAAGGAGAAGTAACGGGTAAGATGAGTATCCTCAATTGAAATTCATTGAGACAACAAATTTTCAAGCCCTGCTAACAAATGAGTATGATAATTTGTGCCAAATCCGGTCTTTTTTTTAACTTTTTACTACTTCTTCTTGCTTCTTCTAAGCATTCTTCAGCCAATCTTTATTTCCATTCTATTAGTTCGGTGCTTTTCATTCAAATAATTTGCTTTATGGTGTTAAGCTATAAAGTTCTGCTTCGGAGCCTTACTATTTACAGAGTGCGACCATTAATTAGTTTACTCAATCATAATTTGAGGTTATGCCAATAAGTTAATACTGTGTTTTTCATACCATACAGTAGAGAGATTAAGGAGCTTCAATCTCGGAAATCATTTTGGTTGTAAACTAGCTCTCTATAAGTTGAGAAAATAGTGATGTTTTATCTGTTTCCAATTAAAAAACGGAAGATTTTCTTTGATTATGGACACTAATGTTTTTTATTAGTATGAAACCAGTCGGTCGTGATGTACAAGAACAACTAAATAGTAGACATAACATATATCATGACTTTTAAAGGACAAACTGATAAAGACATTCCGTTGAAAACTGACACGCTATCAGTTGAGAAAATAAATGCCGCAAGTCAAGGTATCACAAAAATTGCAACACTACTTTTTATATTAATTTTTTAATATGGTTCCTATTTTAAGCTCAAACTTAAAAATACAAAGAAAGCGATAAGGCATGACAGAATCTAAAACATATATAAAACACTTCATAAAAATTAAAACTTGATTAACATGAAAAAAGGTAATTTGCCACATTGAGTTTGTAACTGGCAAAATGCTTTTTTGTCTTTTTTTTGTTAATATTCGTTAATATTTTGTTACTCATATCACACTTTCAAAATGCAAAAAAATCTATTTAAAGCTTATTTGTTTTATACCAGAAGAAAATGATCGACAAAATGGTTTGTTAATCAAAAGCAGTGCTTATTTTTTCCACAAATTTCACCTTTCTAATTCTTGTTTTACCATCCTCAGATAATCTTAAGTATTTGTTTAAATTTCACATTATTTTCAAAAAATGGAAATTTCACCTTTCTAATTTTGCACCACTTTGCACTAAAACGAAGGTACTGAATGCAATGTTTGTACCACAAAATTTACCACTGTTCATCATCATTGGTCACTTCCGATTGATAGCTATATGCTGCAAATTACCTTTCAACAATACGGATTCAGCAGAATACCTTCCAAAAGTACAACGAAACGTTAGCTTTCTAATCTTTCTTACGATATAAATTTAACTGCATAGTACGTTATGGATCGTTTTCACCTGAAAATCCTTCATTCATTAACTGGATCTAATAGTATCAATTACTACTAATTAAATTAACCTATGGTTTGTTTTCTTACTATTCCTTACTCAAAGACAAAAAAATTTTCCCTATTAATTTTTGAGCATTATGAGTTTGTATTTCCTTTCAGGTTCAAAATCAGTACCTTCGAACTTACGATAATATTGACATTAGAGATAAGTTAATAAAACAGCGAAGTGTAGCAATGCCACAACAATTTTCGTTTTCATTTGATCCATCAAGCCAAGTCCGCGGTTAATTTTGCCACTATTTTTAGATGATTATTTATTCACAATCTCATTTGTTAGTATTTATTCATCGAATTTATGAAAAATGAGGAGTTGGTTAAGAAATAGTTATACAAAAACGGATTTTTGAGGTGCCAAAGCATGTAGTCTACCCCAACAAATAGGCAATGGTCCATATCGAATACCACGATGGTACTATAATTCAGTTAGGATGCGTTGTGAGTTGTTTTATTGGTCTGGTTGTTGCGCTAATGGAAATAATTTTCCATCAATTCACAACTGCAAACGATTATGTGAAGGTTTCTCTTTTCCAAAGCTTTTCACTCGTTTTCTGCTTCAAGACGCTCTTATCATAACTGTATCATAGTTGGTCGAATATGTCAGATCAGAACAAATCTCTCTTTACTTCATTATCAAAATATAATTTTTTCTCGATACAATTTTTTTTTTCGAAGCTTACTATAGAATATTTTAATTTTAACTTAAAGAAGAACGACATTATCAATGCACACTTTGGTATGAAACCTTGCATGTTCATTATTAAATTACAGTTGACCCGTGCAAACAGGATTTGGATCAAGGACATGGGAAGACTTTGCAAGCCCGATATTATTTCAATAAATATGCCAAAGTGTGCGAGCAATTTGATTATCGTGGTATTGATGGAAACCGAAACAATTTCGAATCCTTACAAGAGTGTCAACAACAGTGTCCAGGTTTAAAAACAAATCCCTCTCTGCATGACGAAAAAAATTTATGCCGTGGTACTTTAAGTAGTCACATACTACTAAAAATTACTAAAGTTCTATTTGTCCTCTTTCAGCTATACAACTGCATATTTGCGACAAACTCCTAAGTTAATTCATATTTTTGCAGAAGCACTGAGTCCTTGTTCACATGGTAGCAGCACACCTCAAATACCATGTTTTGGTGACAGTACTTGTGGTGTCAACCAGTTCTGTCATTTTGGACAGTCTCAGCTAACCACTGTCTGCTGCAATCGATCACGTAAAACCAACAATAAAACTTAATTTCATAAATTTCATTTGTGTTTGCATTTTATGAATACCATTTGTAAAATTACAATGTTCTTAGCTTGAGCCCAGGTCTAAACAATATAATTGCAACTTGGAATTGTTCACTTGCATGAAAACACATTGTCTCCAGCAGAACAGCACAACTAATGCACTGAATAATAACTGATTCATCACCATGCAGTTCATCATGACTAGCGCACTATTGGATGGCACGACTTGATCTGGTCATCTTAATCTTGGTTACTTTTCAGGACTGAACAGATAATATTATATTTCAGCAACTGGAGACCGATGTCACCAACTACTGAATATAGGTTTGGGTAATGCCTTTCTACAACGATGGCACTTCAATACCAATTCAAAACACTGTGAACCATTCATTTATAGGGGATTGCAGGGCAACGAAAATAACTTTTTAAATCAGAATGATTGCCAAATGACTTGTTTCGGTTAGTTTTCTCAATTCTTCAAGCTCAATTATAAGTTTGCAATAAAATAAGGTTTAAGTTTCAGGAAGACATTCTTAAGAATATTGGTTTTCCTTTCAAAAAATTGACCTTATTATAATAACAAAATTTGCCTTCTTCAGTGAATCCATGTGCTGCGGGAGAACCATATCAAATTCAAGGAAATACTATGCAGTGTTCACCAGCTAAACCATCAATGTGTCCTAATGGGTATTATTGTCACATAGGAGCTGAGCCACAAACAACTGTTTGCTGTCCGAACCTTGGTTAAACTTTCTGTTCTCTTTTTTTGAATTTATAGTGTTTCAGAAGTATTCTTTTAAATTTACAGGTGGTAATGCATGTGAGCAACAGGTGGATCAAGGCCAAGGGAATTACCAGTTACAGCGATGGTATTGGAATATTGCCAGTCAACGATGCATGCCTTTCGTTTACGCTGGCTTAAAAGGAACGCAAAATAACTTTCTAAACCAAGAAATATGCGACAGAACTTGTTACGGTTAAATATTTTAATTTTAGTGCTAAAATTCAAAGGAATCCATTTATTTTAAGAACGAAACAATAATATGTGTTTCCCGAAATTTCCCGACTTCTTCTCAATATATATGTGATATCTTTGTTCTGATACCAAGAACTGAGAACTGTTAAATAAGAAATGATAATCAAAAACCAATCAGTTTGGAAGTCCTGAGCATTGCTGGCAACACACCTTCTCTCTGCGGACGTTGTTACATTCTGAAAAAGATTCATTTCGATTTTAACCAGAATTTACAGCATTCGAGAATCCGTGTTTGTCCGGCAAACCGCAGCAAGGAGTCAATAATCGTCCGTTATGTAGCTCAACTTATAACAATTGTGCAATAACACATTGGTGTCATATTGGCGCAGTACCACAAACAACAGTATGTTGTCCCGGGAAAGGTAACTTAATCGCTTTTTCTTGCAATTTTTGCATATAAAGGCAAAGTACATATTACCTGAGGCACATGGCTTTTAGACTGTGTCGTATTTTGCATCATTCCAAAAAAGAAAAAGTAGAGTTGATATGGGTTCTTTTAGATATTATCAAAATTCTCAAACTATGATGATGGTAGATAAATTCTTTTTCTCTTTATTTGTAGTCGAAGGACGGGCTGTTTGCAAATTACCACTAGCGTTTGGTTCTGGTGATGCCAACTTAAAACGATGGTATTTCGACCAGAACATTTTAAACTGCATTCCATTCAGCTATGGTGGGATGCATGGAAATCAGAATAATTTTTTAACACAACAGCAGTGTCAACAACACTGTCCAGGTGATTTTTGATATTGTAAAATAGGGTTTGATTTGAGTAGATTGTAGACTGAACAGTTGTTGCCTTGCAGAGAAGATGACATTTGACCAATCTTTTTTTTATTGGGACAAAAATTATCGTTGATCATAGTCATTGAACGAAATAGTTCGAGGAAATAGTTGTGTGGGGGCCAGTGAATGTCAGATTGCTATCCAAAAATATAGTAAGCATTAACTCATAACATTTATAATATCACAGTAGCGCACAGGAAGTCAGTTAAACGAGATGCTGTCAACCTTGTCAAATTCGAACATAATTTACAGTTAGTAAGAAACCAACAAACAACAACGGAGGTGAACTAAGTAAAGAGCTGATAACTGTAAACAATCTAATTGGGGATAAATTCCAACACGTATTCGTTATTAATAAACACTGCAAATAAGCTAAGATACATGTAAGGTGAATATAAGATGAATGATTTCGTACCTGACATTGGAATAATTGTTCATAACAATCTTAAGATTGTCATGAACAGTTATTCTTCAAACATGACAATCTTAAATTACCCGGATTAAATATAATATTATTTCTAGATATTATAATTCAGTTTTTCTGACAGTTACTACCTAAAGCGGTAAATTTTTCATCTATTCCTTCATCAGGTACCATTATCACGATAACAAAACCACCTATATTACGTTTCACAGATTCAAATTACTCCTTAATTACTTTCCAGCGTCTTTTTTATCGGAGCTAAATACAGTCCCTTTCATCCGATGCGATTTATATTTTCTTGGTATTTAGATTCAGTCAGAACTGAGCCTACATTTCATAGTAATTAGGTTTAGTAATTTTGCTTTTTGTTCCATGGTTTCTTCTACAGGGTTTCTTGCTCAGATCGTTGTAGTGTATGGAAAAATAGCACAAATTTGTGAATATATCACCTCTTGTTAACTCCATCTTAAATTTAGGATTCACAAATCCGTGTAGATCCGGTAATCCAGAAATGGATAGCAACGGTCGTATCAAAATATGCAGCAAATCGTTGAATTCATGCAGTTCGACATTCTGGTGCCATATCGGAGCTCAACTGCAAACAACACTTTGTTGTCCAGACAGAGGTAATTTCTACTTAGCTTTCTTTATATGATACATCAAATACAACTAGGGTTGCAATTTTTTGAAAATACCTCGTACAATTTTTTTGGAAAAAACACATTTTTTTGAAAATAGGTTCATACCAAAATGGATATTAGAGCATTAGAAATGGCATGTTTATTCGGCAATGAATGTCATTAAAACGAATCTCATGTGAACTTACGCTAAACACCAAATACAATTCAAAACACTAAACAACTGAACTATTGCAGAAATGCAATTTTGCTTTTTATCCAGCTCTAAATGCATTTTTACCATATTTGCATTATAGTAGAGGAATCGACTGCATGTCAACTACCACTTGCAATCGGTCATGGTGGAGCCAATCTTCAACGATGGTACTTCAACAACAACATCCATAAATGTGTACCATTTATCTACGATGGCTTGCACGGGAACCAAAATAATTTTCTCACCCAACAAGAATGCGAACAAACCTGCCCTGGTCAGTACAGTCTTCCATTCTCTCAGTCCTTAAAATAATTCATTTGTTAAATAAGAACATTTGAAGCCGACCATCTCATTTTAATGAGATCAGCTATTACTTTTTAAATTTATCATTTACCATTCGAATGCAAAATTTATTCATCGCAAAATGAAAAATGGTTACGAAATTATAAAAATTGGTTATTTTTCAGCTGAATTTACTTAAGTCCCTATAATTTGTAAAAATTTCGATTTCAGTATTGTGATTTTTCTTTTGCATCCAATTTCAGTATTTGTGAATCCATGTGCTTCGGGTGAGGCGCAAATGGGACGAGGAGAGCGTCCACAGCAATGCATTTCCCATAACCAATGTGCTAATGGTTATTGGTGCCATGTCGGCGCAGTCTCGCAAACAACCGTATGCTGTCCAGGAAGAGGTAGCTATTTCATCTGATTTCTAAATGTTTGAGGAATCGTAGATTTTCATCGTTTCCACTTGGAATTATTTCATAACCGATACCAATTCTTGCGTTATCTTTCAAGTAATGAATTCTGCAGCACAAGGATATGCAATTTGTCAGCAACCAGTGACAGCAGGAATGGGTAATGCAAACTTGCAAAGGTGGTACTATGACGTAAATACTAGGCAGTGTCTGTCATTTACTTATCATGGAACGATGGGTAATGAGAATAACTTTATCAGCAAAAAAGCATGTCAACTGACTTGTCCTGGTACTTTTACTAATTAACTTATCAAAAATAGAGGATAGGATTAAGAGAATTTTACCCATTTATTTTTTACTGATAATCAAACTTTACTATATACCTGTGCGGTAAAGTCCCTTATCAGACTTCTACAAATTATAATGTGTTATAACCGAAAATTATTTGCATATGATTCAACTGAAGAAAGTATTTTGTTTCTAGCCTATGTGAATGTATGTCCACAAGGTATTCCATTGTTGGAAATCAGCACCAATCAACCAAGACTGTGCGCGTTCGGTGAAAATAGCTGTGGACCAAAATACTGGTGTCATCTAGGCCTTGTACCAAGCGAGTACCAATGTTGTCCTGGTACGGAAACTAATTCTTCAGCATGCAAGATGCCACTATCAGTTGGCATCGGTGGAGCACCTGCATCACCTGTCAACCGCTGGTATTATGATGCAGCAGCATCAACTTGTAAAACTTTCGAGTACAATGGCAGGAAAGGAAACCAAAATAATTTCATAAGTGAAGCTGATTGCGCAGCCACTTGCACAGGTTTGCGCATTTCGAATATGCATTTTTTGCAAGTTAAAATTAAGTGAAAATTCGCTTCTTTTTATGTATCATATAGCTCTCTGTCTATCATACTTTAGTTTTCGTGAATCCATGTGACCGTACAGTAACACTGCCACTGCAAACATGTTCCAATTCAGAGGCCTGTCCTAGTGGTACCTATTGCCATTACGGATCAACATCACAAACTACCATTTGTTGTCCTTTCGGTACTATTTTAAAATAATTGATGAACTTTTTTCCTTAAATTTTTTCCAAATTTCTTGAAACTATTTAAAGAAAGTAAAAATCTTCATCCTCATATCTTTTTCAAGTTTATTTTTCAGAAGGAAATCGCTGCTCGCAACCAATGGCTCGCGGTATTGGTAGTGGATCACTGCAACGATGGTACTACAATTCGATGAAAGGCATCTGTGAAATGTTCACATATAATGGAATACATGGCAATGCCAATAATTTCTTAAGCAAAGAGAATTGTGAAATTGCCTGCAGAATAAATCCTTGTCCTGATGGTTTGGCAATCAAATTTAAAATTTAACTTAACGATGAGTTTGAACTGTTGTCTGAAGTTCTCAACAGTAGATTTGAACTGATTTTAATCTTAGATAAACTTGATTTTGCAAACTAGACTACAGAAAACCTAGAAACTCGGATCAACTTTACTTTTTAGGTCAACCGTTCTCCACTTCAAACAGTGTTTATCAAGTATGTGTTGCATCAACACTCTACATAAACGGTTGTCCCAATGGTTACTGGTGCAATCCTGGTAGCAATTCATTTACTACAGTTTGCTGTCCTGGAGGTGATGTCTTTTGACAATGTGTTAAAATCTTGAAATTATACATTTTCTACATTGTTCTAACGCAGTTTACACTTAAATCACTGAAACAAATATTACAATTTCAGCAGTTAATAACCCATGTAATTTGCCTATGGTAGTAGGTGAGGGTAATGAAAAGTTACAACGTTACTATTACGACGCAATGGCAAGGGTATGTCGAGTTTTTACATATCATGGCATGAAGGGAAACCAGAATAACTTTTTATCACAGGTAAATGGATTTTCTTTTTAATTTTGTAATTGGTATGATACTGGAATGTATTTGTTAATCCTCGAGGAAATCTGTTTAAATGATTTCCTGTTAATAGAGTTTAAGAAATAATTCAAGAGCGTAAAACTATAATTTTAGAATTAGAACCTAAATAATAGCACTACACGTTTATTCGCTTATGTCAGACGTGGGTAGCCACTATTCCAATGCCACTGTTGTAATCGAATAAACTGATTATTTTCTACATGTGGTTGAAAGTTCTATTGATATGAATAAAAAGAAATTTTGCAAAGGATTTACTTAAGAAAATACCGCACAACTATATGCATATGTTAACCTCACTATTTTCCGTTATCTAATATTTATTGTAAAGAATAAGTTCTCATTAAATAACAACTAAATGTTAAATATTAAATAAAAATTTCTTCTGAAATTCTTGTACCTGTAGACAGCCTGTCAGCTTCGGTGTCGTCCATTAGAAAATCCATGTATTGGACAACCGGCAACAACTACTGCAGGGCAAATACTCTTTTGCTCAGCCATCAATAAAGAGGTGTGTCCAGTAAATTTCTGGTGTCATATTGGTTCGACACCGGAAACATCTGTTTGCTGTCCTGGAGGTAACATTTTTATGTTTTTTATGAAGAATTTCGATTAGATAACGGACTACTTTCGTCAATTCAAAAATAGATCTATTAGTTTAACATAAATTTAGCAAGGTGAAGCTATTTCTGTGATCATTATCTTTCTGAAACTGTGGCTTCGATATTAGTTAAACTTGTGGAGAATGACAAATGTTTTTAGCAACAAATCCCTGTTCGGTACCGCTTTCACCGGGTTCTGGTAATGCGGATCTGTCGCGGTGGTACTACAGTGCTGATGATCGTGAGTGTTTACCTTTCCAATACAACGGCATAAGAGGCAATCAGAACAATTTCTTGTCACAAATGGAATGCTCGAGGACTTGTCCAGGTTGACTTTTTTATTCACCTACTGTTATGCTAGTTGCAATTTGAACAATGTGACATTCATCAATATATGAGATAATTATTTTCTTAAAGAACTGATCATAATAGTTAAGTACGAATTCAATGTAAAAAGAGAAATTGCATTGAAGTGCAAAACAGTGCATAGCTGTCGATTCTTTAATCTGAAGGATATCTTTTGATTGATCTCAGACTATTTTCTTTCCTATAATCTTAGATCTTCTTTCATTTTATGCTTTACTCAACAGTACTGCACTAATTAGCGCAAAAGACTTGTACTAATAGATTACCTGCTATTCCTCATCTGGAATATATTTTACTAGAAATTAGTTTGAACATTTTGAAAAAAGATTTTGTTTATACGTGTCATTCCAGTGACGAGAGTTTTTAGTTCGAGAATCTGTATACTTGAAAACTTTGTACAAAATGAGAAAGGGAAACCCAAGAAATGGATTATATATCCAAGGAAGGATATATAATCCATTGGAGGCAAATTTCCGCAGTATAGCCTCTTTTGTTTGACCGGAAATAGTAAAAAATCTCAGAAGTTACTACTGTCCGTTATACAAGTCCGACATTCTTTAAGAAGGAAAAAATTAAGATTATACAAAATTTTAAACAATGATTTCTAGTGAATAATATCGCGATTTTAAGTGGTTTGTTTATCTAAAGGAATAATGTGGGCAGACTTAATAAATAATAAACTGAATTTTTTGTAACACTGAATTTAATATGATTTATATTAATGAATTAATTATGAATAGCATCGAATTATGGCAATTAATTAAAGCAAATTTTTAATTGGCACATGAAGAGAATTGAACATTTGTGTTTTAAATCGATTTCTGACTTATCTTCCGTTGTAATATTATTAAACCATTCATATCTAATGTTAGTTTTCGGTAATTTCTTACTCATTCGAGCACCTCTCCGTTTAAAACATAGCACTTTATTTTAGATTTATACAGTAAGTTTTTGATCCGCATTTAAAAGAACTGCAGATAGTGTGAACGAATTTAATCCTTAAACGTTCCTGATTTTATTTTTTTTTTTAAATTCACTCATAAAATATCCTGTAGAATTGTAAAGTTATTCAAGTACTAAGGATTAATATTTATTAGTCGAGTCAGTTCATTGCAATAGGGCATCATTTCTGAAGCATACTAATTCCATATTAATGATAGTAAAGTGTCCACTGTTTACTATAGATTGCAAGGTTTATTACTTTTTATTTTTTACAAATTTAGAGCTAATTTGAAGTAATTGAGATGAATTGAATTAATGTGATTGATGTTTTCATAAGTTGCAAAATAGGACGCTTTGATGAGCGGTGCAGCAATGAAAGCTAGGAAAAAACTTTAATTTGCAAAGCCTTAATTCGTTTTTTGGGGTAGCAATTTTTAAATAAAAAATTGAATATTCCCAAGAAATTTTGTTTTCAGTAATTGTAATCAAACGTTAGTGATTTAGCGCTTTGGTATTATAGCTCAAGGCCAATGTCATTACTTCTTCCATTATTCTTCCCAAATTATGAGCAGAAAAAGTTTGCCCAGGTGGGCTATTTAAAAAAGACAAAAAAAGATGCAGACCATTGTTGGAAATGCCGTATACTGAGAATTGTAAATCTAATAAATTTCTTCTTTGAAAGTAATTAAACTCATTTAAATTCGATATTACAACGTTATTCTACAAAAATAATATCGCCAATGATTTTTAAGAAAATAATATGCTAAAGTGTCTGTGCAGCTTGTTCAAAAAGCTGACTTTTTGACCTTTTTGGTGTTCTAATTTGAGTAAGTTAATGAAAGCGTTCGCAAGAATTGAGTTACATCTACATTAAAAAATTTGTTACAAACGTCAAATATTAGAAGTCTAAAAAAAACTGACAGATTATTTCGTTCAAAAATTCTGACTAGGAATTAATTCTACAACTTTACCTTTTGAGCTATATGCTAATAAAATGAACTTCCGCTTAGACAGTTACCGGCTCTCAATGTTTGGTCAAAATTAAGTTCAGTGGCAATATTACAATTTTTTTTACTTTTTTCAAAGAAGAAACACTCATATATGTGCAGAATTGATGCCTATTACAATGTCAATTTTAGGTCTTTTAATTATATCGATAATTTGAATAATTGAAAATTTTGAAACCCTATCTTGAGTATCTCTTGTTTTTGCTATGTATTTGTAGCAATTTCCGGATATTTCAGTATGGTAAAATACTGGATGTAATGAATATATTACTTTAAGCTATTACTGTCCCCTTATATATATATTCATTAATTTGTCTTCAGATTAATTTCATAGCACCTTGCTCGTTTTAATATTTTTCCGAAAAATTTGCTCTTTTATAAAGCAGATCAGGTAAACTTAGATTCAATTCTTACCTTATGGACATAAAGCTTTCTTTGAAATAAAACTGCCTAAAAATAAGCGAAAATGGGAAAGCACACTAATTATTAATGTCAGGAAATTCATAAATTATTAATTCTCTTTTGCTATATTCTTTTATCATAAGAATTAAATTCATATTTAGTTTTGAAATAGTTTTTTAGTATTAGAAGTATAAATATCTATAAATTAAAAAATATATGAAAATTTTGCATACCCAATAATAATTCAAAACCAGAAATTTAAAGATTGTACAATGTTTTATCTAATAAGTAAATAACCCAATTTAAGAAATATATTTGAATTTGTTGTCTAAATCTATCTCATAGTAGGATTTTTCAATTTTTTCAAATTTTTATTTTCTCATATTTTACAGACAATAAGTTATAATCTATCACATACTTTTAATTCTTACTGTTTTATTGGTCATTCTATTGCATAAATTGCAACTGTTTACTTACTCTAATTCATTTACTGTGACTATTTTCTGTCATTAAGTGGTTTGAATCACTAGTATTATGACTGAAATTCATATTTGTGTTCCTGAAATCGTAATTTTTGGTCATAAGCTATAAATTGGGATGTCTTCACTCAAAATCTTATAGCATTTTAATCTCAGTGATATATATTAATTGAATATTAATATTGAACTATTTCTCCAATATTAAATTGTTTCTTTTTAACTTCTTCCACATTTCTTGTTCCAAATCTTTGTTATTTCATGTAGTTACGGACTGAACTTGTTAGTTTATTCTTCATCTTTTCATTGAACTTTCAGAACAGCTATGCTTATTATCGATAGATAAAGGAGCTTGTAGTGAACATCAAACACGTTATGCCTTCGATCGACAACAGGTTATTTATTTTATAATAATTTTCGATTACTGCGACAAATTTAAAACTACCACCGTGCCTGTAGTTGAAAATGTCTACATATTCAGATGGCGAAAGGATACAACTTAAAACAGAAACTGCAACATATAAAATAAGGACGTAAGAAAAGATTCAAGGAATGCGAGGGATTTTTATCTGAAATAAATGGAATGTTTTTGAGAGAAATTAAACATAGTTTTGATGCGACACTCAGTTATGAGTTGATATAAGCAATTTTGTTTCCACTTGCAAAATGGCACTCTGATAAATGAAAAACGAATCAAGGCTAAATAAACATTTCATTTGAAATATATTACTTATTTCTAAAAAACTGTGATCAACAAATGACCCGTTAATTTCGTTGATTATTTAATCCTATTCAGTTTGATCATTTTTATTGAGAGAATTTTTCATTTTTCTTTTTTGGAGTAATATTTGATTTTCCATTACAGAATCAATGCATATCATTCGAGTATACAGGTTGTGGTGGTAATCTGAACAATTTCCGTTCGTTAGTTGATTGCATATCAACTTGTGGACAACTAGGATTTTGAGAGATTGCTCCAGTTTTGGAATTCTAACAAGTTTTCATTATATTGACAACATTCTGTCAAGTCTTCTTTATTTACAAACAGTGCTTTCCGGAATGACATCAAGGATTCAGGATGATTATGAACATTTCTGGTTAATTCATATTTAAGTTTAACCAAAATTTTTTCCACAACTTGATGTCTCGTATGAATTTGATATCTTATGCATCCTTTTTAACTTTACAACTATTTATTTCTGGAAAAGAATGTTTTATTCTGAAATTTCCAAAATTTCCAGAAAGTTTTTGGACAATTTTGGTTATTTTTTTTATGCTTCAAAAACGTTGAAATGCGTATTAGGATGTTTTGAATTTCAATGTATTAAGGATTTTCTCTTGATAAATGTTAAAATGCTACTTAACACTTTAATTTGCAACTTTAGATTTTGATCTGTCTGATCCATAATTCAAATGGAAAAGAAATGAGTTTGGTCTTAAATTTTGAGTAAATTCACATAAGTTGAGATACTATCATGACTAGATTTTTGAAAAAATTTTTCTCAATTTTTCATGCATGTGTTATAGTGAAAATGATTTTTGATTTCATGCAAACTTTGCGATGTATTTTATAGTTAAGTATCTATTTCAAGTGAATGCTAAGAATTCAGCTTGACCTTTTGCATCATACATTCATAGTTGACAATTACTAACAGTCCTCGCGTTGTTGTCTTGAGAAAAAGTGACTGAAACCGTAATCAAATTTCAGTATGTATTTCGCCCATACTTTTCTCACGTCATTTTGTCTTCAAAATTTATAAATTATTTGTTTGTAAAAGAAATTTATAATTTTATAAAATCACTATAAAAAAAAATTTATAAATTATTAAATAAATTAAAAAAATTCAAAATCTATAAAAATTATTTATAGATTAATTCAAAATTTATAAAAAGAAAATTTATAAAATATAAATTATTTGAAACTGATCTCTTCTTTAACTTACTTTATATTAAAAAACATAATCAATGCTATCTAAATTGGCAAAGGTACGTTAATTAGAGATATCAATTTACACATCTGCGATATATTAATACTTTTTTGAAGTATTTGAAAAATCTTTTAAAAAATTATTTGAAATAATAAACAGGCTGAATACTTTTGAGGTTAATTCAGTCTATAATTTCAATTCAAAATCTATTTCGTTGTGTAATAATTTATAGCTTGCACTTTACTTTTTTGTTTTTCCATCGTCCAGGGAATCAAAAGAACGTAGAATGAATGAGAAAGGGCTAGAAAGAAGAAGGCGGCTTTATCGAGTTTTTTATTGTTAGAGAAAATTGTTTGTTGCAACACTTATTAGTTTCAATTTATAAATCTTCGTTTAGTTAAGTTTTAGTTCGTTTTTGTTCTGAAATGAGCCATTTTGCTCCAACCTAGAGAAGAGAATGAGAAATGAAGTTGAGATAAAGTGTGACAAAAATATGTGAAGACGAGGAGACAAGATTGTATTCGAATGTGCCGTGTTGTATTTAGCGTGTTGATCATAGTTTGTAACACTAGGTTTTTCTTCCTTAGTAGCTATTTTTTCTTTTTATTAAAATTAAAACTGATTATGAACTTTCGAAATTCAAAATCATTTTAAGAAATGACGCATCTTGGAAGTGCCTAACCTGTCTTATCTCGGTTCAAAATTTTAGAAATTTCCTACCTATCTGAAGCTAAGGTGTTTCACAATTTATCAAAGATCTGTTTCGTAGTAGAAATCTCAGGCACTTAACGCAGGGAAAATAAACATCTCGGCTAAAATATTCAGAAGGGATTCAAAAGGAAATGGAATATTTAGAAGGGGCAATCAAAAGAAATGGAAAATATGGATGGATACAGAGCGAACGACTGGAAATAATTTAAAGCTCAATAGATCTCTTTCCATTTTTCTTCCATCGCTTTTTCTTTTCACCACATTTTTCTCATAAATAAATTTCATATTGATTATTTATGTCATATATCAGCATCAGCAAGATCAGTTCGATCCTTTATTTCCCTATTGATAAAAAGACTTCTTTCAGTGAATGTATCAGTTGCTTGCTTCCTTCACCGTATTCTCTTTCATTGCCAACTCATCAACTTTTGTTGATTTCCTCTTTGAATATTATTTCTATTATCTCACCAGCTGTTTTGTCACTCGTCAAATTGGCTGTTACTCTTTATTAATTCATTCCTCTTTCTGCTTTACATTTTTCTTTATTTAACATTTCTAAAGCACAAGAATAACTAGGATTATTTATGCAGTAACTGTTGACAAATTTTATTTTAATATTAATATTAATTTTTTAGATATCATTACCATTAACCAGTTATTTGATTCGTTCGAAATAAACAAAATTGCTCAATTTAAAGAATTTTGAAATTTAAATTTTGACTTGCAAATTCTGTTTGGAAGCTCAGATCATAATTTTGTCTTCTTATAATCTGACTTCTTATCACTGATGACTCGAGTATGTAATTAATAGATTAACGCTCGTAATACAGAAAACAAATTACCAACTTTATTCCGATATCTAGCAGAATTTGCTTAAGCATATAACCTTTACCCTATCAACGCTCAAAGAGCTTTTGGAAGAGTAGAATAAATGGCATTGCATCAGTTGCTCTGAAAATTAGAGTGAAAAAAACTATTCCATTCCTGTCCGTCTTTCAGATTTATTTTTTCATAGCGAATTTATTGCTATTTCTTTCAAAAATCTTAAGAATTCTTGCATTTACTTTATTCGTTTATATTTTGCTGTCAGAAATGAAATTGAATGGATTCAGGAAGAGGCGGTTGAAATAGTTGTCATTTCTCTGTTTTCGCATTATCAATATGCAAAATAACATCCTTAGAAACGATTTCTGATTTCAGATTTGAATTTTCGTCAAACCTCTAAATTAATTAAATATGTTGTAAAATAAGGCTAATTCATTATATTATTACAGAACACTCAAATTATGTGTTGGCTACAAATAATTTTTTCAGATGATAAATGGATTATGTTGGAGTGATAGCTCTATGCGATGTAAAAAATTTAAAAAAAAAATAAAAATTTTAAGAAAAAAAAAAGTAAAAAGTTTAAAAAAGAAAAAAGAATCCATTTATTCGGGCTTATTCTCGTTTAAATTGCAATTTATAAATGCAATTTATGTTTAAAAACTTTTTCGCTGTATTTTCCTATAATATTTTTTTTCTCTTGTTGATATTATAACGAATCATACACACTGAAGAAACAACTAGATGGGAAAATCGGCTCATGTATTAAATTCATAGAGAAGTTCAAGTGGCCCAGGAATGCTTGGTAATCCATTAACAGTTATATCACTGCATTATTGGCAAGAATGAAGTGTCCAGTGCTGCGAGAGTAGCTAATGCTAGCAGAAATGATCATACCACTTGTTCTTCTAACTTTGAAACTAGTCTTTTCAATTCAATATTGGGCGGAAAAAGAAGTATGCAATTGTGTTGTCACGTCGCATAGATATGTTATGCTTGCAACAGGACATAACAACGCTTACAGCTGTGGTTTTTTTTTTTCAGCTGAAACAAATTATTGCAAGCAATACTAATTAATTAACTGTGATCTGTCCATACCTGCAATATCTTGTCGTCTTTAGAGCCAGAAACGATTCGTTTTAGCAACATACCTGTAAGAAAATAATAGTTTCATTAATGCCTATCTTCACTCTTTTAAAGTAAGCCCAGTGACTGATCAGAGTTACAGAGAAGTAGAGGGAGGGTGGGCTGCGTTTGGAGTTTCAAATTTGAATTCATTAGAAAAAAATTGTTTATTAAACCAGAATGCACCAGGAGGGCAGGCAGCACAGCGAACGCAGCGAAGGAAGAGTTCGTGTGGTGTTTATTGTGCATTGTACTACGGATGTTGCTTGCAGAGATTACCGGAGATGAGGGAACGGACGGAGATTAGTTGTAGGGGCGGTGGTTGAACAACTGTTTGCTCTGTTGCATAACTCTCCAATTCAATAAGTGATTGTTTCGTGATCTAAGGAAGCATTTCCTGCACATCCGCCATTCTTCAGCACATCGCACATATGTTTAACCTACCAAATCAGTGATAATTTTTTCATTTACAGCTATGTTTTGGTCTTTTAGATCAGTGCAGATAAGTGAAGAATGATGGCATGCTTGCATGCACTAAAATAACTATAGCTGCTGCTGCACTGCATTTGAGTGCATGCATGTATGCATGGAGACGTATTATTTTATATATTCTGAACCGATGATCAGTCATTTGAATCACCGATATCGATTTAATTTTTTTCTTAAATTTATTTATGTTTTCCCTCTTTGTTAGAACGTCCTAGGACCAGTTTGTTTGGCTAAACTGGTGGTTGCATTGTTTTAGCTGAATCACACCTCTTTCTGGAACTTTATTTCCATTTACCACCCATTTTCACTCAGTGCTTTCTTTCGATTTACTATATCGAGAGATTTTATTCATAATATAATTTGTTTATAATTTAATATAATTCAATTGCTTGTTTTTTTTTCAAGTACTGAAATACATTTTGCAGTGATGAGTTGTCATAAAGATACGACCGATATAATTAGTAATAAACGACAAATAGGAAAGAATGAAGTTGACGGTGAACTTCTCCGAAAAAGCACTATCATCAAGAGTATCTATCTTCTGCTTGGATTCATTGTTAACTCAAAGGTCATGTCTGGCTAGATTATGAATTGTCGATATGCTTGGATATGTTTGTTCCCTCTCTTTGACTGCCTTCAGCGCCTGTCTGATCAAGTTCATCCGCTAAAATCATTCACGAGATGCTAATTATACAAATGTCCCCTTTCTACCCCATTTATATTTAGTGGATATTATTTTAAATTAATGTAAGCAAAAAATATATTGTAAAACATTCCTGCCCCTCTTAAAGTTTCAGATTGCCAACTTGTGACCAAATCGATCCTCAACATTTCTTTTTCGTATTTGCTGCTGTTGAGAAATAATTCTTCGTATTTCCAAGCAAAATTT